GCCGCGCGGTACGTGGGGGACCCCCCCCCCCCCCAAAAAACCTACGTAATAGACGTCGGGCGGGGGGGGGGTTAGGGGGGGGGGTTATCCTCTATCCTCTAGTAAGTATCCGACACGCCGAGCAATGTCGGCGGATTCGGATCGAATTCGTAGGGCCAGGTTGCGGAAAAAGACAAACACGGACACCTCCTGTGCCAGGTGGTGGGATGCATATTTTCCCTCCAGTACGAGCCCATGCCGGCCTGGCGGCGCCGGCCTCACAAAGCGCAATGTGAGCAGCCACTTTGGGGGGTTGTCTCCAAAATGAAGAAGGAGAAGTTCCAAAAGGGGATGTGGTAGTGGTGGTGGCACGACACCTCCAGGGTGATCACGCCTGAAACAAAGAGAGCTCTCCAAAATGGGTGGCTTTCCTTTTGGTTCGCATTAAAAAAATAGAAGAACACCCCCCCAAAAAAAAACCAACAACAAAAATGACACCGCGACTTTGGCCCTGCAGGAGTTCACTTGAGCAGCAGGGCTACACCCCATCCGGAGAGGACTACGTCTTCTCAACCTGCCTAGGCCCATGCGGATGCCATAAGTTCAGCTATAGGGAAAGGGCGGTTTTTCCAAGACAAAGCAGCTGTACGATCTGCAATCCCAGAAGCTTCAGCTTGCCATGCAAATTCTATTCAGCGTGAACTTGCACACCCTGCTTGCAGCACCCGAGTTCGAGTGACGCGAGGTATTTTTCTCTCCTCTACTGCGTACCTGGTGATAGCAGGCGGATGGAAGAGGCGGACCACTCAGACTGTGCAAGAAAACACAACATATGTAGATTGAGTAGCACTGCAGCAAGGCATTTGAGTCAGGCACACAATGAACTTGCATGCATTTCTACGCATGTCAGCAGGCGGTTGTCACATGAATTCCGCCAGGATCAATCAGCAGCCGCTGCAGAAGCCAGTACTGCGCCCTGCCCTCTTTGCCGGCTTTGTCTGGACTCTGTCCGTGCCCAAGCCATCCATGGAGATGCACGTCTCCTTGGTCGGATCGATGTTCTCACATGATTTGTGCAGATCTGCCTTCTTCCAGCTGTATGCTATGGTGCAGCTCCCGCCTCTGGCTCAGTTGGGGCAAAGCTGAAAGAGGCAACTTGTTGGTTCATCTTTGAGGTATGCCGTGGCTTACTGCCTGGTCGTCGGAGGAGGAATTGGCGTCAGCCTTCTGTGGGCTAGTCTGTGGTTTGGCGAGGCTGGCAAGAGGGCGGGGATCATTTGGCTGTGGCTCAACAACCGGTACCAAAATGGAACCCTGGTAAGTGGAAACATGGACCAAAACCTGCGCAACCCCTCCTGCTTAATTTGAGCCACACCCATTTAACTGTTTCTTTTGCTCTTCCTTCCTTGCTGATGGATGCTGGTGTAGCTTTGACAGCCGCACAGTTGCCTTGACCGACGTTGAGTCCTACTACTCACTTGCGCCTTGCACACTGACGATCGCTGTTGACCAGCTGATGAATCGTACACCTGCCCAGGCGGCTGGTCGACATAACAAGCTCTGTGCTTGCCTTGGAGACAGGGCAGGGTTGGTGAGGAGACAGCGTGAACAGTTCCTGGTTTATCCTGGGTCGACCGGGACAGTCCTCAAGCCTTGGTGTCGGATTCTGAATGATTGTGAGGTTTCCTCCCAAGGGCACCATGACCAATTGCGACGGTGGCACGTATCATGTTAGATGTGAGGCGCCCCTTTCGACTAGGATTGATGGATGGGAGGCGGAAGACGGGACTTGGACATTTGGGCATGTGGGCTCTGCCAGCATCCCAAAGTCCCATTCGACTTCTCGACCCAAGGCCTGGCTGCGGCCTTTGTCTTCATCGCCTTTGGTATCTGCCTGCTTGGAGCCGCAACGTGACAGGCGCGGTTATCAACCTGAGCACAAGCTTGGCACATGCTCACCTAGGCTGTCGTGGATGGACCTGACAAATCCGTGCTGCGGGAAAACGGGCAGTTGCACTTTCTGGCATAAAGCTTGAGGCGTGCTGGCCCTGGCCCTCACTTTGGCCTGAGGTGATCCAGATGGCTACTTTGCGATTCGGCGCAAGCTCTTGAGTCCGAGTCTTCGAGGTGAGGCAGAATCAGCAGAGACGTGACAGCAGTTGCCGAGCCAGGATTCGGCTCCTACCGCAGGCAAGCGATGAGCCCCTGTGAGAATGCTTTTTGGATACAGCCGACTGACATGGGGCCCAGAGGGTGAGGGATCCTTTTTATGTCCCTCAGAGTTCTGGCTTTGCGGGTTTTTGAACTGGGCGCCATTCAGGCAGGACACCTGTGTGCTTTGGACCGGCAGCACGGTGGTTGGTTCCGGCATGCAAAGCCACGCGCTCAGTGCGGTCGGAAGTCCTCGTCGTGTCACGAGCGGAGCTGAGCCGAGGCTGCCCTGACAACCATGTGGATGCAGTGTGCTATCCGCCCTGCGGTGCGGCGCTGAAGTATCGATCCACGGGCCAAGCTCGGAAGTCTTTTGCATCCGAGGTTGGGTGCCTCTACACCTCCTGAATGGCACGCAGACTGCCTGGACAATTATGCCAAACTCTTTCAGGCGCCGGATGCGTATGAGCTGCGCTGCCAGCCGGCGATGCAAATGGTGACCTTGCAGGTATGGCCCTACCCTCAACACGTCAGTGAGGCTGTGGCAGGCCCGGTGGTGGGTTTCTCTTTTTTTTTCCCCCCCGGGCACCTCTGGACTCTTGGGCCTTAGCGCTTGCTTGAAGCCCGAGTGGCTCAGCCTATGGAAACGGAGGTCCGAATCGACTTTGCCGATGGCCTGCCGAGTGCTGTGGAAAGACTTCTGGAGGCAAGGAGCAGCTTGTACCTCTGCATAGGTGTCCTTTTTGGTTGTTTTGGTAGAAAAGTAGATGGCCCTGGTTTACCTGGTGGTTTACTCATCTACCAGGGCCATCTATTTCCCCGAAAAGGACACCTATGTACTTATGTCCATTCCAGGGACTTTGCGAGCGCAGGTGCCAGTGAAGGGCATGGCAGTTGACTGTGCAGCGCATGGGGAGCCTTTTTGCATCATCTTCTGGCCCGATGTCCGCTGCTCAGCTCAGCTCGCTGGGCGAAGATCGTGGCACCCGCGAATTGCGGGCGTGGCGTTGGTTTCGTTGGCTTGCCTTGGGATTTCTGGGGGGTCTCTGTCCACTTTCACCAGTCTTTTGGGCTTCCCCCCGCAGATGCTGCTGCAGTCCGGCATCGGCATTGAAGCGGAAGTCTCGGGCCTGACAGGCGAGGGACACCGACTCGCGCGCGTCTGCATGAGGGTGCTGAAATCCAGGCTTAGCACGGCGCGTCAACGCGCGCGCGCGCGCGCGCGCGCGTGTTCGCATTCCGAGCAAAGGCAGACATTTGCCCGAACGCATACTCAAGGGAGTCTGGATGTTTGTATTCTTCGGCTCTTAGTTGGATGTTATCCCTTCCATTTTCTGCGAGTCTCCAGTCGCTCCAGCCAGAATCTGCTGACGCTTTGATATGCGAGGGGATTCAGTTTTTGGGGCGCGTTGGAGAACGGCTTTCTGATGGTCTCAAGCAAGGATCATATCATTTGCCAGCTGCTGAGTGTCAGGTCCAGTGTCGGAGCTGAACTTCTTCTACCAGGCGCTTTCCTCTGCGGCTGCCCGATGCTGCATCGATCGCGAGCTTGGACCTGCAGGTGGCACCGTTCAGGCAGGAAGATATGCACAAGAAGATGGTTCAGGAGGTGGGACGGGGAATGGAGATGCGCGAGCGAGAGGCATTTCCCACTCTCTCATCTATTGATCCCGGGGTGGGGCTGGGCAAGAACTGAGGAGTCGGTGAAGGGGAAGGGGCTCCGCAGTCTGGCGCAAGAACTAGGGGCTGGCTGGGGCTTACCACCGTAGTCCGAGGGCAAGGTCTGAGGAGCAGAGCTACAGCCGTAGTCCAAGGGCAAGGGGCTGGGGCGGTGAAGGCGGGGGCTCGCTTCGAGGCTGCCGAATTCCAGGCGAAGCCCAAGAACTTAGATCAAGGGGCTTGGGCGCAAGGGGCTGTGGCGCGGTTTGTGGCTGGGGCTGGGGCTGGTGGTTGCAGTCAGCCGTCACATGGCGTAGTCCAAGGGCAAGGGCTGGGGCTAGGTGAAACTGAGGGGGGTGAAGGCTCACTTCACTGGAGGCAGCTGGAGCATGGATTTGGGCCACGCGACACGGCTCGTTGGGGGGGGGGAGGAGGGGCCCGAGGATTTTTCACCGTTTCCCAGGTCTGGGGGCCGAGGCGAATTCCGGTATCAGACAGAGGGCATGCGGTAGGTCCATGCCTGCCTGGTCCAACCCTTTCCTTGCCTCTCACCCATTCACCGCTCTCGTCTTAAACTCGCATCCCATGTCTACAAAGACCTCCGGACCTCCGGACCTTTGCTTCGCGCGAGGCAAGGCGGCTGCAAGAGCTGGCCTGCAACTCTCACCTTTGGCCTGGCTGCCGGGGCCGCAATGGTGATGTGTTTGTTCTATGGTGGCCGTGCGGGTCATGCTGGTCGAGGTGGTAAGTGTGCGAGCCAATGCATTGGCTACCATATACCAGGCGGCCTTCCTGTGGAAAAACCACCACGCCGTTTGCGGAGAGTGGCTTGGACGCTGTTCAGAACAAGGTTGATGACTCCTCAGACGCGATTATAACTGCTACACCCAGCGGCATGCGTGAGCCGCCTTTACGTTCTGTGTGGCTTGGACTGTTCTGTTTTTTTTTTTTTTTTGTGTGTGTGTGTGTGTGTGCACTTTCTAGACTGCTTTGCCTAGGCCAGCGCCAGCGAACATCTTCCGCGGAAGGGGCTGATTGAGCCCTCCTGGTATGTTGCGATTGAGCTGCATGTAGGCTGTGACTCCTTTTTTGTGTGTGTGTGTGTGTTTTGTGGACATTCGTAGATGTTGAGATTTCATGCCTCAGCCAAAAGCCATGTGCTTTGTCGGATATGGCCACTTGTTACTTAACTCCGAGAGACGGCCAGGCCAATGTCCCATCCTAACATGGACATCATTGTGGATGGGGTGGAGCTTGGCTCAGCTGGACTGAGCTGACTGACCAGCTGAGCTGTCGGCATGTTTCCGTCCGAGGACCTGGTAGTGACAGTCCGCGGGGCAGTTGCAGCCGTGAAAGCTGAGCAGCGCTCTCGATCACGGAGTCCAGCCTTCTTGAACCTGTTCGAAGAGCGAGTTTTGCAGGGCAGCAGAACGACCAGATCAGATCTAGCTTCATTGGAGGAAGACCAAGACATGTCTTCCCAAAGCCAGCATGATCACACACACACACATGCCAAGACAGCCAGCCAGATTTTAGATCCTGATCAACGAGCATGCTGGTAGGGAAGACTGGAAGACAATCTGCTTAGGTTCTTTGTGGTTCGCTTTGGCGGAGAAGCAGACGTAGTTCCCCGAGCTGCACAGGCGGAGAGCCGTGAGCTTGCGGCTTTGAACTTGCCGAGCCATGCCGCGGCCAGGCGCAGCGCTTGCCAAACTCGAACTTCCTCATCCGAGTGAAGATTCCGCTGCCGCGAGGGCCCACTTTTGTTGGGTTTGGCTGGGGGAAGATGGGAATGGCACCCAGGAGGGCGAGGTACCAGCTCCGAATCAAGTGCGACCCGGATGAGGCAGGACCACACGGCTGGCAGAGTCATATGCGCAGACCTCACGGCAGGAGGGCTTTGCGGACCTTTGCTACTCCGTCACCTTCAACGCCCAGTCCTCACGAAGCGTCCCGGGGAAAGGGGGTGAAATTAAATTCAGCCGGACGTCCGTGTCTGTTTTGTTTTTTTCTTCTTCGCAAGGACACTGCGAGGGTGCCAGCGTTGCTCACATCCCTGGATGCCGGGAACCTTGCTTCACGCCCTTTGCTCCATATTTTCGTCTCGCTGAGGAGCCCCTGGCAGCGAAGTTTGGCTATGCTCCGGTGACCGCGGCTGCTCAGGCGGGCTTGGTTTGTGTGCGTGCGCTGCCTGTGCTATTTGTGGTTAGGCCCATGGCGCCATCCTGCTGAGCCCGTTGATGCTCCCCGGCAGCAAAACCAGACGGTTTATTTTTGGCCGACCTGAGCCCAAGGTATAGGATTCCTGCAGGCACAGCCTACCTTTTGATCTACGTCGACAAGGCTTGGCCCACTCGTGGGCTTGGAGTAGGAGCTTCTGGAGAACATTGTAAGGCATTAATCTGCTTGCGCCCACGTAAAACATATTTCCATGGGTCAAAAGCCCGTACCCCCAGTGACCGTCTCAATCCGCGCCAAAATAGGTTCTACATTGGTTGCTTCCCCTGCCAACCAAAATCGGATCCCAAACCGTTTTGACCACCACAGCCACTGCATGGAGCTGCACGCTTTCCTGGCTAGTCTCGCACAGGCGGTGGCAGTGCAAAACCTTGCAGCCTCGGAGGCGCCTGTCCGGGGAGTTGGAAGGCTGTACTGGCAGAGTGGATGGAGCATCTCCTGCCAGCTTGTGTTGCAAATGACTGTGGTTGTCGAAACAGTCTTGGGATCCCGTTTTGGTTGGTAGGTGAAGCAACCATTTTAGAACCTATTTCAGTGGGGATTGAGATGTTCACTGGGGGTACGATTTGGATTTCGACCCATGGCCAAATCGGGTGTCAGTGTGTAAGCCTCAGCCGTGTATAGCATGTTTCATGGAGAGGCTACGATCGCCATTTTGGCCCTGGCCCACCTAGGGACCCCTTAAGCCGAATCGTTGCACCAGCAACGCAGCTACATGGAAAACGCGTGACCTGCGAGCTCTACTTGCGGGACAACTTGTTGACGGTCGAGTTCACTTGACTTTGGTTGGTGTTGCTTTGGGGAGTTGGAACCTGACCCCAAGGTGCTACCGAAATTGGTAGCGGAGCCTGCCACAGAGCAGGCGGGCGGCAAAGCTGAGAGGCATCCTGCCGGAAGCTTTGACCGCCAAGGTGAGCTGGAGGTGGAACCTGTTCGTGGAGGAGCCGAAGGTCTCAGAGCAGGTTGCCTTCAGCCGGAGATCACGGGATCCCAGGAGTCCTCGCCGGAGCTGGTTTTGTCCTCGGACTTTCGGGAATCCATGGGGGATAAGAACCAGGACAGCTTCCGGGTCACTTGGGATGGGGACTTTGCTACCTGGCTGGACTTCGCGCGGAAGGTGAGGCTGGCCTGGGAACGGACGAGAAGGAGGCGCAGGCGCTACCTGGGACCGGAGTTGGTTTCGCAACTCTCCGGGAGAGCATGGCTTGTCACCCAGGAGATTGACCACAAACGTTTGAGCCAGCACGACGGTGCGAAGTATCTCCTGGACTACTTGGAGAATCGCCTCGCCAAGACTCCCGTTCCTGATGCCGGTGTTCGAGCAGAGGAGCTGTTGCTGAGGTTGAGACGGCCCCCGACGATGTCAATGGCTTCTTGGTGCCAACATGTGCGAGAAGCTCATCGCCGTCTACAGCGAGCGCTACAGCGAGCTCGACAAGAACACACCCAGCTAAGCAAAGAAGCAAAGACCCCTGGAGCACAACCAGACCTTCCTCGTGCTGAACAATCGCCAAGTTCATCGCCAACGACGAGGAGGTCGCGTGCAAGGACCGAGGAGGAGCCCTATCAGACGGGCGAGATCGGGGAGGACGGCTGGGATGGATGGCCTCTCGATCCACGGGAAGCCTTTGGAGATGGAGAAGATGAGCCTGATGAAGAAAGCGGAGATCCTCGATCAGATCTGAGCCGCGGTGGAAGCGGTCATGGTCGAGGACGTGGAAAAGGACGAAGCAAAGGAAAAGGTAAAGACCGCCGGAGAGGAAGATCCTCATCATCCTCTTCGGCATCAGATGGACAAGAAGTTTGGGAATCCTTGGACACCGCTCTACCTCCTGCACTACCCGACGAGCTTGTGGGATGGATCATGCTGAGGAGGGCTGCACTGACATCGGCACAACGTCTGAATGTGCTGGCTTCCATCCACAACAGCCTGCACAGCGCCGATGTCGAGCGCGGTCTGAGAGCGGTGGAGGAGGAGCTCACCCATCCGGATCAATCCGGAGGCCGGAAAGGAAAAGGTGGTGGAAAAGGGCGCTCCTTCTGGGTTGAGGAAGATGGAGAGTGGGGCATCTTCATGGGCACGGAGCTGGAGGTCGAGGAGTTCGTCGACCTGAACCAGGTCCACTGGGTGAACAAGAACCCCATGCAGGACTACCCCACCAAGACGCAAGAGCACAACCTAGAGAGCGTGATGGAAGACGGCTTCTGGAACCAGGAGGAAGACGGTGGCTACTCCTGGTGGGACTCTGGCGGGGACGGCGAGTACTACCACCAGGACATCTCTGGTACCTACTGGGCATGGTCCGACTGGGAGACGCAGCAGCAGACTTCGTTGATGGTGGCTCCCGAGCAGCTGAAGGAGGTTCAGGAAGCCTACGCGGCCTACGAGCAGAAGGCCCGGACGTTTCAGGAGGCTCGGAGAGTCATGGCTGCCAAAGGAGCCAACCGGGGATTCTACCCCTCAAAGGGAGGTGCAAAGGAAAGAAAGGAAAGGGGCAGCCTTCGGTTTTGTCTATGGAAACCACCCCTTCCATTCCTGCCGGATCTGTCCTTGCAGTGCAGCAACCGGGTCAGCCGGGTTACACCGGGTGCTTCATCTGTGGTTCCCAACAGCATGATTTTCGCCATTGCCCCAAGAGAGGAAAAGGCAAAGGTGGGAAGTCATCTGGGAGCTACTTCGTGGAAAGCCACCTGGGCATCTTCATGCTGCGAGAGGAGCAGATCGAGTTGGAGGAGGGAGGCGATGGAGACGTCAGGTTCAACCCGGACTTGATCGGCATGACGAAATCGGAGATCATCCTGGACCCTGCGGAGGTCTTCCAAGCCCCAGGTTCCCCGAGGATCCCTACATCCTTGTGGACCCCCAGAGTGGCACTCGCTCAGTTCCCCGATGATGGTCTTCCTGGAGGTGGAGATCAGACGACCTTGGACGCCGGGGACATCCTGTACCAGGAGAAGATTCCGGACCCCATCATGATTGCGGTGGTGGAGAGCCCGGAGTCGGAAGGATATGGAGTGCTGGATACCGGCGCCACGGAGACGGTTGGTTCCCTGACGGCTCTGGAGCGCATTGTTCTTGGCCGTAGGCATGTTCTGGGAGTCAAGGAGGAGATCAAGGTTGTCCCCGCCCCGTTGAAGTCCTTCAAGTTCGGCAACGGGGCCATCCAGAAGAGCGAGAGCTATCTCCTGCTACCCCAGAACCTTGGAGACCGGCGCCTATCTCTTGGCATCTACACCCTGGATGCGCCGGGCGTCCCCGTGCTGATCGGCATCAAGACCCTCGGGAAGTTGCAAGCCATCATAGACGTCTTCAAAGGAGTTATCATCATGCAGGCGGTGGATCCAGCCATCGCCATCCCGTTAGTGAAAAGCAGATGCGGCCACCTCCTGATCAATCTGCAGGAGGACTGGCTCACCACACACAAGAGATTGGAGCTTCCCCGTCACCTACCACCAAGTGCACCACTGAGGGAGGTTTCCAGGTCCCCTGTTCGACGTGCCTCTCAAAAGTTGGCATCCGGACCCTGTTCACAAGCTGCCACATCGGCAGTGAGTTTTGCGTCAAGCACAGAGACCTCTGACGTTCTCAACTGGAGCAAGCCCGTTGACGGAGCATACATGGTGCATCTTCCGGGACGGGGGTGGGATTCCATGAGCGTGCCGGAAAGCAGTGGCATGGCCAGGTTTTCGTCGAAGTCACTGGCCCGTGATCACAGACAGCAGTGTGTGTTTGTGATTGATGATCATTCTATGCCTCCGGCTGCTCGGCTCCAAGACCCCGCTGACGGGATGCGTTGGTATCTCTTAGCGATCCTCGCCCAGTCCAATTCGCTAGCCTCGCTACTCTCCCGCCATGGCATCCGAGAAGGAGACGACCAGGGACCCCCTCAATGGCAAGACACCCGAGATCGTCCCGGCGAGCAAGGGAGCAGCGAAGGCCAAGGTCAAGACCAAACCAACGACTGGTCCCCTGGGGGAGAAGTTCGACTACGGACGACAAGTGGGGCCAGACCCTCGAGATCCTCGCCTGACCGGGCCACCATGCAACGGCAACCATCAGGAAGCACGTCCCGGCCGGGGTTCGGTTTCGGGATCCAACGCCCATGCCATTTGGACGGCGTGTGCGGTGTGCAGACTCAGGCTGAGCTACACCCCAGCCTACGGAGCTCATGCCATGACCCGCCAGGCCGGACCGTTGCCGAGCGACACAAAGGAGGTGGTGGAGTCCCTTGGGAACGAGGCGGCGCACAACCCTCTTCTCAAGAACCAGGCGATCTGCCTCGAGGGAGCGGAAAGAAGCTTGATGAAGCGCCTGGAGGTGATCAAGGCTCAGAAGGCGAAGGCGCTCGCAAAGCAGGGCTACCACGAGGAGAACATCAAGGAAGAGGGTGTTTCTCAGCCCAGCGATGCGGAGGAGCTCAAGACGACTCCAGGCAGGAAGATGAGAAAGAACGAGGTTTCGGCAGAAGACCAGGAGTACGACGCCCAGACGGAAAGCTCCTGGACGGTGACTTCGCCATCGTGAAGGGTGAGGACACCCTGGAGTATGACAACCTCGGTGTCTACCAGCCGGTGGAGAAGTTCCCGTTGGCCGATGAGGACCTGCTGTATCTTTTGGAGAATGTCAAGGATACCCAGGACCGCATCGAGGAGGCTTTTCAAGTTTGTGGTGGCGTGCCGGAACCGTGGGACGTGCTGGAGCTCTGCTGTGGACCGGAGAGCCTACTACTTCAAGAAGTACAACGTGCTGGTGGTCGTGGAGGTCGAGCTGGTTTGTTCAACAACTGCGACCTCATGAAGAATGAGGGCCTCCAGAACGTGCTCAACATGATCAAGCAGCATCGTCCCCGATGGCTCTGGATAAGTCTTCCCTGCGGGCCAAGCTCTCCCATCCAGAACCTCAACGAGATCACCGAGGAGGGCAAGAGAAAAGGGGATCTTCGCCGCAAGAAGTCGAAGGCTATGGTGAAGAGAGCGCTGATCGTGGCGCGATACCAGCTCGAACTTGGTGGTGAAGTTGCTCAAGAGTGGCCTCGCGGGAACTACGCCTGGAAGTGGGACATCATCGAGAAGTTCTGGTCTGAGCTGAGAGCCCAAGACCGATGCCACGATGTGCTTGTGGACGGGTGCCAGTTTGGCCTCATGGACAAAGGCTGGCCCATCAAGAAGCCGTGGAGGATTCGGGTCACAGATGAGACGCACTTGAAGAGCTTACACCGTCTGTGCCCTGGAGACCATGAACATGCGCCGTGTCTCGGAGGAGGACTTCCGGAGAGGACTGGGAGATACACTCCCTCCTTTTGTAGGACGGCGGCCAAGGCGATGATGCAGCAAACTGCAGCGGCCTATGGCTCGACAGAGCCCCAGGCAAATGCCCTCGGCGGGCTCACTTCCCAGGAGATCAACAAGCTGGCGGAGACGGTCCTGAAGCTCCACCGTCAATGTGGACACCCGAGCAGCAGGGCGCTCATCAGGGCCCTGAGATCGAGGGGAGCGTCAGAGCAGATGCAAGCAGTGGCTCACCAGCTGAACTGCCCGGAATGCCAGGAAGGTCGCATGGCAACGCCTATGACCCAGGTTTCCTTGGAGAAGGCAGACACCCTGTGGCACACCGTGCAGATTGACACCTTCTACATGCGGATCGGCACGGAGGTGCACCACTTCCTTCTCTACCTTGACGAGGCTTCGGGCTACGTGGTGACCGACGAGATCGTGACCCACCCAGATGACCAGCACGAGAACGTGGCGACGCCAGAGATGTTGGAGTCCCTTCAGAAGAGCTGGATCCAGTACTTCGGCATGCCCAAGCGGATCCGGTTGGACCTGGAAGGCTGTTTCAGAGGCAGAGACCTGGAACGTTTTTGTGCAGAGCGAGGGATAGAGCTTGCCCCTGTTCCGGCCGAGTACCATGCTTCGACGGGTGATGTTGAACGAGCAGTTGGAGAAGTTCGGCATCGGGTTGAAGTTTTTCTTCGGGAAGCCCGAGACTGTTCTGTCCGTGAAGCAGCTTGGGCGATGGTCGGTGCACATAACACTCAAGCACGTGTTGGAGGATATGCCCCAGCTCAGTGGGCATTTGGCCGTTTTCCGGAGGAAGACCTCAACCCAGCTTCAGCCTCGCATGCGCAGTTGCCTGGTCATCCCCTGGAAGTGCAACTACGCCTTCGCCGAGAAGCCGAAGCACAGTACAAGAAGCAGCAAGACCTGGCCAAGCTGAGCCGGGCAACCAACTCGCGAGCAGCCCCGGTGAATCAGTTTTTGCCGGGAGACCTCGTCTACTACAAGCGGTTCAAGACCCCTCGTGATCGACCAGCGCATGATGAAGTAGATGTGCCTCGACTGCGTGTTGGCCGATGGTTTGGACCTGGACGGGTGCTGGCGGCCGAAACTCGCGTGAGAGAAGAGGGAATTTATCGGTCAGCGAGCAGCTCCATCTGGATCATCTCCCAGGGGAGACTGAAGAAGGTTCACCGCAATCAGCTTCGACACGCATCAGAGACCGAGCGCCTCATTGCGGAGAACACAGATGTTGCTGGCATGCCGTGGACTTTCACGCAGCTCGTTAGCCAGCTCAACAAGGGCGAGTTTGACGACCTCACCCAAGGATCCTTGAAACTTGGGCTAAAGCAGAGATCTGAGCTGCGAGGGAGAAGCCGGAGCCGACTTCGAATGGAACGCCGGAGTAGCGAGCCCAAGATCCCTTTCAAGCCAGAACCACAGGAAGATGACGAGCTCATCGAGGATCCGGAGAGTCGCAAGCGCCAGCTGTCGGAAACTCCGGCATCACCCGAGGACGAGATCGACATCGATCGGCTGCTCTCCGACCTGAATTACAACCCGCTGGAACGATATACGCCGGAGGAACGGGAGAAGTTCCGGAAGAAGAGAATGAGCCATGAAGGAGAGGAGATTCCCCTTCATGTGAGGAAGAGCCTGCCTGCCGCTTCCTCTTCGAGTCCTGTCCAGTACGTCGCTGAGGAAGAGGCAGAGAATGGCATCTTCGGCATCACCATCCCGACCCCCGCGAATGAGATGGAGTGGAAGAAGATCGTGAAGAACCCAGCCAAGTTCGCGGCCAAGAACGTCCAGAAGGGCGCGGAGGTGGAATGGCGCAGGTTGTCGGAGGAGCAGAGAAGAGCTATGAAAGAAGCCAAGCAGCTCGAGGTCGACCAGTGGATCATTCGCAAGGTTTGTGCCAAGGCGGATGTGCAGATCCCGGCCAATCGCTTGATGCGGATGCGCTGGGTGCTGACCTTCAAGGCCGGGGACAGCGCCGACTATGTGAAGGCAAAGGCCCGGATCGTGCTCTTGGGTTACAGCGACCCTGACCTCACCGAGCTCGTGACTGCCGCCCCCACTCTTTCGAGGCGGGGCAAAATGTTGCTTTTGAACTTGGCCACGCACAAGCGGTGGGATTGCCTCAAGGCTGACGCGAAGTCCGCCTTCTTGCAGGGCAGCTCCAATCAGGCCAAGAGGAACATCTTTGCCGTCCCGGTGGAAGAGCTTTCAGAAGCTATGGGATTGCCACGGGGACAGGCGGTTCGCCTGCTCAAGGCTGCCTACGGACTTGCCTCGGCTCCAAGAGAATGGTTCTTGGATGTGTGTGATGTCATGCAGGAGAAGGCCGGCCTGACCCGCTTGCAATGTGACCCCTGCCTGTGGATCTTTAAGGACAACGGGAAGGTGGTTGGCGCGATCGGCGCTCACGTCGATGATTTTCTGATCACCGGCGACGAGACCAATGCAAAGTGGACTGCGGCCCTAGACATCCTCTTCAAGTCCTTCGCTTGGTCGCCTTGGGAGGCGATGCCCTTCGCGCACTGCGGCATTAACCTCATGCAGAAGAACGACTATGGCTTCATCCTGGACCACACGCAGTACTGCGAGGAGCTCAAGCAGGTTGAGCTCGGCCCCAACGACAAGGAGATGAACAACTCCATCATGAGCCAGTGCCGGGCTGTGCTTGGTGCGGTGCAATGGAGAGTCCAGCAGACGGGCTTACAGCATGCAGCGAAGTTGTCTTGGCTGCAGAGTGCCTTGCCTAAGGGCAACTTGGACGTTGTGAAGGAGATCAACAAAGTATGTCGTGAAGTATATCAACAACGAAGCCTCAGCATCGGGGTTGAACAACTCGGAGCAGAGGCGGATGAGGAGCTCATCATGGTGACGTGGACGGATGCAGCAGTCGGGAATCGACCTGACCTCGGTTCAACTGGAGGACACCTTGTCGGCCTTGCACATCGGTCGATTCTGGATGGAAAGCGGGTGCCCGTGAACCCGATTTCCTGGAAGTGTGGCAAGTTGCATCGGGTGGCGAAGAGCAGCTTGTCGGCGGAGATTCAATCTCTGGCGGAAGGCGAGCAGGAGCTGATGTTCTGCCGGGCGCTTTGGGCAGAACTGCTAGGCTACCAGCTGGACTTGCGCCGGCCGGAGGACGCGACGATCAAAGTGGACGCGGCTCTGGTCATCGACGCGAAGTCCGTCTATGACGCCTTCTGGAAGGAGGACACAGCTTCAGCAGGGTACTCCATGAAGGAGAAGTATGCGGCGCTTGAGCTCATGGCGACGGCCGAGAACCTCAGACGCCAGAACACTTCCTTGCTGTGGGTTTCATCGGAGGCCCAGCTTGCGGATGGGCTGACAAAGGCCCAGGCTCAGGAGGGATTGAGACGGTTCCTCGAGCGCAAGCAGCTGTGGACGGTGAAGCACGACCCAGACTTCATCGCCGCCAAGAAGAAGAATAAGAAGTCCCCTGGTGTGGCACCCCCAGAGGAACCTGACGTGAGCCCCGACGTGAGTTGGACGGAGTTTCTCCGGAGCGGCCAGAAAATGGCAAGCTTCGCCTGAGATCTTTGGGGCATGTCAGTGTGTAAGCCTCAGCCGTGTATAGCATGTTTCATGGAGAGGCTACGATTTGGCCCTGGCCCACCTAGGGACCCCTTAAGCCGAATCGTTGCACCAGCAACGCAGCTACATGGAAAACGCGTGACCTGCGAGCTCTACTTGCGGGACAACTTGTTGACGGTCGAGTTCACTTGACTTTGGTTGGTGTTGCTTTGGGGAGTTGGAACCTGACCCCAAGGTGCTACCGAAATCGGGAAATCCCTACCATCGTGTATTTGATAGGAAGGCCATTCAGGTCTATCAGCAACGACTCTTGGCAGCGGCTTTCTTTGGCGCCTGAGCCGACAGGACACTGGTGACAAGCAGACAGGTGGGACTCGCAATGGACCTAGAGTGTATTTTCAGGTTATCCTCGTTGCTGCTTTTGTATGTCTCAAAAAGCCGGCGCCCTTTTGGCTTCTTTCCTTGTGCCTGAGTGTGTTTCTTAGGCCTGACGAGCCTGTTCGCATCGCGCTTGAATGCCTTGCCAGTCGACGGTGTCAGCCACCGAGTTGCGAGCGAGCTCCCATTCAGCTTTTTTGCAATTTTCGTTTCTATCTCGAGGCTAAGTCCAAGAGTCATTCGACGCCCGGAGCGCAGGGAGTCTGCAAGGCATTCACTTGACGAGTCCGTCGCAAGGTCCAAACGATCTCCTCTACAGCTGCTTCAAGCGCAGCTTGGGCAGTCGCTGGGACCCTACGCGCAGGACTTGAACAGTCGCCGCCCAGCTTTTCGACGTGATGAATTGCAGGACAGCTGTGGGGACGTGCACCTAGACGTCTCTGCCAAAGATGGAAAATGCCTGGTCCTCATGGCAGATCACAGGGCCATTGCGACTCACTTGGTAATTCATTGGGGCTTTCCAGTGAGCCCTGAGAGCGGCTTGTGTTTAAACCCAGTGTTGCTGGCCCCGATCTCAAGGCGTGCGGCGGCTTCGCGAGAGTTGGGACCAAAGAAGGTCTTGCGTTCCATCGAACATGGAGCTTTCGAACACCAAGGACCAGACATGCCTGGGTTCTTTGAAGGCTTCCTGACCTTTGGGCAGGCGAGCCTTGAGCAGATCAGCACTCCACATCAGAGGTGTCTCGCTGTAAGGTAGACGCCCAGTCCAAGATCCGGCTGTTTATGCGCCTTCCAGGCATGCCTGAAATGCGTCCGTCCGGGTGGACATTCGGAATTGCACCCACGTCCTGGAGACTTCGGAATTGGGATCGTTGAGCCCCCTTTCAACTCCATATGGCTGTGGGTCACAACCCGTGGAACCCATTTTGGGGTAGGTGCACCACCCGTTTTAGTCTGTTTTAGTGGGGATTGGGATGTTCTCTGGCTTGTTACCCATGGCCGTATCAGGTCTGGACATAGACCAATGCCAACCTCGGTTGCTTTGCGAGTGGCTCATTTGCAGCAACCCCAGTGACGAGGCTGCTTTGAGAAGTCTGGTGCCAACTCATAGACAGCCTTGTGACTAGCAGTATTTTTCTTTTTCTGCCGGCGAAGCTCAGGTCGTGCCCACGGCGAACCGTTGCCGAAAGGCTTCACCTGATTCGGGTGGTGTTTCTTCCGGCAAAAAACATGTTCTTCATTTCTGTGTTTCTAATCGTGGTTTGACTTTGAATGTATTCGGTCCCATGACCGTCTCATAATTTTGCCATGAAGCAGAAGACTTGCTTCAAAGGCAAGCTTTCTCTGTACTCTTAAAGAGTACCCTGTGAGTTTAGTCCTCCACTCGCATTTCTGGCAAGAAGCCGGAGTTGAAGTGCGGATTGCGTCCAAAGGAGCGATTTTCGAAAAGGTGCCCAGCCTTCTGTGTCAGTTGTACGAGCGTTTGGTCGGACAGATTGCACTGTCCTGAGTGTCACCTTTGGCTGCAGGACTGGCCGAAAGGTTATGCCAGACAAGGGCTTGCTGAATACTTCCTCAAACGGTCCAGCGCTGAAGATGCTTGCTGAGAAGCGACGAGAACTGTCTTTGGCTGGCTGTGCATGAGTGGTTCTGCCGACTAGGTAGATCAAGTGAGTGTTGGGAGCTGGGTTTGCTTTTCCACCACAAGGGCCTTTGCCTCACCATAATCAGTCTGAAGTAGTTAATCGAAGTGGCTAATGCAGATATGTGATGCTCAGGCATAGATGGCAAAGATAAAGTACAAACGCAGCCAAGTTGAAGTGTTGCTAGTTCGGCCCCGAAGCCATCAGAATAGCTCTTTGTGTTGTGCTGAGGTACGAGGATGCTGAAGCCACTTACAAAAAGGGGCTGCAGCTCTCGCCAGAGGACATTTCTTCAGCTGTGTGAGCTGCAAAATATCAGTCCTTTTCGAGCTCAAGTCTTGTCAATTTTAGCCCAGCCCTTTTTGGATTGCTAAAGCAGACAGCTTGGGGACATATTCGTTGCTCATCCCGAGGATTCGTCCTTGAAAGAAGGCTTGCAAAAGGTGGGTTAGATGCATTTGACAGATGCGCAAATTGACATGGACAACTTTTGACTTGGAATTTGGGCTTTGTTCTACCTCCAGATGAAACGCGGTTTTGCCTTGCTTGTTTCTGATGGCGTGGACAAAACCTTGACCCGTGCCTGCAATGCTTATTGAGTGGCGCAGGTCATGGATGCCAAGTACGATGTGGGCCCTATGTCCGGGCCCTCGGCGTTTGGCATTGACACATCGTTGAAGCAAACTTCGTTGCGATTTCCTGAGGTCTGGAGGGGATGAGGCAGAATGCTGGATGGCACGTGCCCATCCAGAGCGATAATCATAAACAACATCAGCGCATTTCCTGTAGTGATCCCTGGAAGTTGCAGGCAACACTGGCTTGCATGGTAGGACATGTAGTGACCTGGGCCTGGGTTTTGGCAGATCGAATGTCTGCTTGGGGTGCCATGCAGCCAGGCTGAGGACTTGCTTGGCAAGGCCACGCTGGTTTGTTTGCGACTGCCAGATTATGAGGGAACTGGCCGGATCCGTGGTATGTGGTTTGTCTCTAGCCCAGGAGACCGGACGGCAGTTGGCAGTGCGTCACAATTCGTTTCTGGTGTTGTTGGAGTTGTGCCGGCCAGTTCGATGCCAACTCCCTGACAATGGCAGCAGCGCGGAATCCGAAAGTCAAAGAGTGGGCCGCATATGTTCTTCTTTGAAGGCAGCCAAGACAATCCTCTCAGGTACATGAAAGATACTCTGTTCATGCAGCGGATCAATGCTCTCATGGGAATGACCAGCTGCAGGCCCAGACTCGACTATTAGCAAGTTCTGCGCGACTAGTGCTTTGAGCCAAGCGAGACGTCCCAAGATTTCTCTGGAGGCATGTTCAAAGAGGTTGCACAGCGAGCCAACGGCTTGAGGTTCTGCTGGCGCTCTAAAGGAGCAGATGGTGATGCAGCTTATCCAACAGGACCATTTGAGCCGCACCAGACAGTGAACTTGTGGGCGGCTGCTTTAAAATGCGAACCTAGCGTCCACCAGACTATGCCCGACCTCAGGATCCACGCATCCTGGAGGCCCGACTCAGCCCTGTGGCAGTTTTCTATGCAATTCGGCAAGCGACTTGAGGCCCTTGCTGCAGCTCAAGGACTTGTGGTTCGAACAGGAGCCGACTTTGCCCCAGAAGACGTGAAGGCCACATGAGGGTTGATCAAAACTTTATACAGTCTCCCCAAATGACCACAGGCCAAGGGGTAACTTTCTCCATTTAGTGGTGAAAGTCATCTTTTTTGGTGGTTTCCCTAATGGTCATCCACGTAAAGCCCCTACATGACATCATGGGGGCTTAGATTTACACAACCTTGGCGCTAGCTGAAATGTGCTAGCTTCAATTGTAGCTGCTATGTGAGGCGGAAGCTGGACCGCAACCGAAGGAGCAGACGGGTCCAAAGGCTAGAGCATTTTATGCAAGAAGCGCTCTGTCTGTCTTTCCCTTTCCCTCCCTTTCTCTCGTTCCCTCTACAGGAAAAGACTCCAGAAGATACTCGCACGCCAGAACAAAAGCAGGTGCGGGGTTGGAGAGCCTTGACTCGATGACTCGATGACTCGATGACTCGATGACTCGCAAGCTGGCAGGCGGATGATCTCAAAGCAGAAGGCAACAGGCTTTACAAGAAGCGCCTGGGCAAGCAGAGCCGCAGCCATCCACTGAACGAAAAGGGGGGAGACGGGGGAACCCCACCAAAATCTGATCGCAGTCCAGGCGGCAAGAAAATTAGTTTTCTGTAGGCAACGCGAGTTTCAGCGATATGAGCTTGGCTCTCAACGACCATCAGGTTCGTAGAGGAGAGGCGTATTGGCCCTGTAGCTGCCAATGTTGACCTGCGTACTGCTTGTTTGACAGGCTGCGATTCGCGAACTGGAGCTGCCAACATATGGGAGTCGTTCTAAAGGTCCTTGTAAGGAGTTTAGAATTCGGCGACCATCGGTGTTGATTGAGGTAGCTCCGCGAAAGATTCGCGATGGAGTTGCGAAAGTAACTTTTCCTTTCTTTTTTTTTTCTCGCGAAAGTTTTTGCGTAACTGTATCTTGTAAATCAATGATATGTGAAGCCATTTATCTTTGCTGCTGAGCCTTCCTTCTAAGCTGATTAAAACACTTTGTTGACTTTGCACTGATAAAGTGATAAAGCCAGGTGAGGCTACAGTTTGATACCCTGCGTGGCTGGTTAGTGCTCCAAGCCTGTGTATGTGCGTCTGTGGATGTTTAGTCGGTGGCTTTCCGCTCTGAACCGGGTGACTTTTCGCGAAAGTTCCGCGAGAGATCCGCGAAAGCCCGGGCGAAAGCGCAGGCTTCGATTGCAAGGGGAGGTACTTTCTGAGTGTCGCGCTAGTCAATATACTAGCTTGGTACTGGAAACTTGCGACTTTAAGCTAGAGCTGCACAGCTTCCGAAAAGCTGCGACTTTCCAGCCGGTTCATGTCATGTACTACCCCTGTGATGAACAGTTGCGACTTTACAGCTGGAGTTGGGGAATCGCATTTCGCGCACTACGCTGGCACTTAAAAGCTGCGATTTTCTGACTTGAGAAATGAAAACGGCACGGCACGGCGATGAATCCGCGAAAGATTCGCGAAAGTAACTTTTTTTATTCGCGAATAATGGCCGTTTCGAGACAAAGGAATTTAGAACAACCACCATATACTTCGGGAGCTACACTGATAGTAAACAAATGTCAACTTTCCAGGCAGAGACTAACGCATTCTTTATGTTGTATTGCAGTTGTCCTGAGGAGTTGCGATTCAGGGGCTGCAACTGCCAAAATGTACTTCACGAGTTGTAGTTGAACGGTGGCGGTTGTGTCTGCAACTGGAGGCGCCAGAGCGTACTTAGCTTGCTACACTTCGACTGATAAGTTGCAATCTTCGAGTTGTATTTGCTACTGCCAGCCATTTGTCAATTTGCCCCCACATAGACTTAAACCCAGGAGACTCCTTTTGGGGAACTGAGCACTAGGTTTAAGTCCTTCGGGTAATGGAACATGGACTCACATGGACTGCCTGTGGTTGAGAGTTGCAATGTTTTAGCGGGAGCATTGTGTAGCAAGCATTCAATTTGAGGGGCGAAAGGGTTCTCCTGAAGCGATTGCTTCTTTGCTTCGAACCATGGGCATTGAGCATGGTTCACATGAGGCGCAAATTTAGCGAAGCCATGGAGCAGTACGACAAGGCTTAGTGACTCTCGGCACTTGCTATACCCGCTGCCAGCCTTGTCAGGCTCTTGAGAAAGCACCGGATGACCTCACCTATCATAACAACAAGTGCCTTGCTGCATTCCAGTCAAAGAAGACTGTACTTCAGGGAGAGTTCAGCGTTATTGTTGAACATATGCGATGAACGGAGGGGACTTAGACTTGCCTCCTGTTCGGCCCAAGCAAGGTGCGCAGTATGGATGGAAATGGGTGAGGAGAACTACCCGAAGGCTGGGTCACACTTGTTGGTATTCTAAGTGAGCATGCGTTGGTTGGTGGCAGCTGCAATGCTGTGCCTGTGTTTGACGTACAGTCAGAGTTGCCAAAATCTATGACTAGTTTGGAAGGGCCACATTTTTCGAGCATAGCTCAATTGCAGGTGCTGAAAACCTGCTCGGACGCTCAGCTACGTGGACGCTTGGTTCGGCATTTGAGCTGCTTGCCACTTGATCTGAGGTGAAGATCTGATTTCCAAGCGCTACGAAATCAATTCCCGAAATCCGGGAGGAGCCTCCTTTGAAAAAGTGGCGAAGGCCTGCTCATGCGCCTGGAAACTTCTGCAATTTGTGATTGATTGGCTATGAGTCGTTGGTCACAGGTGTATACTCGAATGGCATCTGTTTATGAAAAGCAGAAGCGATTTGATGAAGCCATTGCCATGTGCCCCCACGGCATGTAGCGCCAAATTTGCAGCATTTAACAGCTGAGATCCAGCCACAGGTACAACAAAGCGCTGACGGAGGACAACAACAGGCTGACACGGAACTTGCTCAGAGAGGCCGAACGAGCCAAGGACTGGGGGCTTCTTGTCTGAAAAGGTTTGCTAAAAATGGGCTTCTTTGCGAGGAGAAGTACGAGAAGGACAAGTATTTGGATTCTGCCAAAGCAGAAGAGCACAGGGAGAAAGGCCTGTTCGGAGGGAGTGATATTTGCTTCACCAGCCATGTCTAAATCCGAGTGGCAGAGCTTCAGGGGGAAAGAAGGGGTCCATGGCAGATGCGTTCTTGCGCAGGAGCAACAGTTGGACACGAATAATGTAGCTTGGCTGGTGTGCTGGTTTGAAAGAGACATGGCCCAGAATGTAGCAATGAAGCAAGTGTTAATTGCTCCCCGCACACAGCGACCTGCAACTTTCCGCGTTGAACGTGCGATTTACGGTGTCCGAATGTTTGTCCGCTTGCCGCTTGCTGTAGCCCGCGTTGGCATCAATCATACATGGTACTTCTTGCAAGCGAACCTGATGCAAATCAGCGGCCAACAGAACTGTTTGGTTGTAGATGTGCCAGGCAATGCGCTGTTCAAAGCTAACAACATGGTTGCGGCCAAGCAGGCTGGAATCTGGAGCCATGCGGGGTCTCATGTATGTCAGGTTGTGGCGTTGGCTGGTGTTTAATTAATGCAACATGCTTGCGGTGTTGACAACGGTTCGGCCGCAGGAGTATGATGAAGCAATCCGACGGAACCCAAAGCCGACGCCACATGGCTTCATAGCCCGGTTGCAGCACCTGCTCGCCCAAGGGATGCTAAACTCTACTCCAACAGAGCCGCCACCTTCACCAAGGCGGCCTTTTCGATGCGTAGCCGCTTGTCGTTATTTGTTGGTTCATCCTGCAAAAGCTGGACGCTTTTGCAAAGCCTCCTTGAAACCGGTCATTTGGCTGTGGCTCAACAACCCGGTACCAAAATGGGTTGCCCTGGTAAGTGGAAACATGGACCAAGACCTGCGGTTTGCCCCTCCGATCGTTTAATTTTGAGCACCCATTTGACCTCAAGCTCAAGCGTCCTTCCAGCTTCGGTCCGATTTCCTCAGCTCCTGGCGTATCCGGACGCGCTGAGAGACTTGGAGGAGTGCCTGAAGTGAGCCTGGCAACGTTTTGGCCGCTGGATCAACGAGCATTTAGAGGGAACCTATGGGAGAGCTCCCGTTTCTCTGACACGATTTCTATCTTGGCTCCAAAAGTTGCCAAGATGTCTCGCAAGAGTATCTTTACTGGTTCTGATTCGGTCACCTCAAGTGCTCGGCGCTGTTGTGTGATACCTCGCACGCCAACACGAACACTGCATGCACTGTTGCTGTGGCAGGCTTGAGCCGACCTTTGTCAAAGCCTACTCAAGGCTTGCAAAAGGTCTTGTTGAACCACAGAGTGTACTACAAGCGGAAGCAGCTCTTGAAGCCAGTTTGCTTTTGCTGAGTTTTTTTGTGGTTTCAGTGTGGTTCTACCATGTTCTATTCAAAACATGGCTTTTTGCAGGAAAGGAGCTGCGCACTTCTTCTTGAAGGAGTACCACAAGGCTTTGCGAGTTTGCCCCTCCCAACGGCCTGTCAAACATGCTGCATGCAGGCATTGGAAGCGTATGAGGCAGGCTTGAAATTGGAGAAGGACAACGAAGAGTGCCAAAGGGGAAGAGAGCAGGCCAGGACTCCAGGACTGGCTCAGGCTCGCGCCTAACAGCGCCAGCGAGCGCAGAAGCGCGGGCTGCAACAAGCCGTATGATTGCCTATCATAGTGACGCAAGCTTGGCTGGCCGTAGACAGCGGGCATTCTATCCCACTCAACAAGGGCGGGGGGGCTCGGCCGGGTCTATTTCCACAGCCTTGAGCCAGTGCGCCCCTTGGCCGTACTCGTTTCTTGGAGCCCAGGGCTTAGGATGACTCTCGTGCTTTGTCTGGGGCTCTTGGGTCACACCTGGAGAGCTTGGTGCCTGGAGAGTCCGTGCAGGTCATTGCAAAGATCATGGAGACCCAGTCTGACGCAGTAGATGAAGAACAGGCCCGTACTCCTGGGTATGTGGGTGTGTTCGCCCGCCGAACAGGTGCGGCATGCTATGGCGGATCCGGAGATTCAGAAGATGCTTCACGATCCACAGGTCGGGTTGCCAGTTCCATTTCTCGCCTATTTGAGAACAATTTTCCCTTCTGAGCGATTGCATGAACAAAACATCATCCTGATCGGAACCGATGTCCTTTTCCCTAGCCAATGATTTTAGGAACTGTCGTGCCAAGGTGCGCATGTTCTTGAAGACCTTGCAGGAAAGCCCTGCAGAGGGTGAAAAGGCTGGTTGTTTGAGTGATAGCTTAAGCCACTGTCTAAATATATGCGTGCAGTATCATCAGGCATGAGCCGAATTTCCCCCTTTTCAAGAAGGGACTCTTCCAATCTTCGAAGCCGGGACAGCTCTAATCTTGTCGCAGGCCATGAGAAGTGATCCTAAGCTTGCGGAGATTGCAGCGGTCCTCAGTTGATGGGCCAAAGCTTTGCTGCTGTACTGGTGCATTGAAGTCGCAAGGTGTCAAAGCTGATGGCAGCAGGCATAATTCGAACCAAGTGATAGCCTGACGGTCTGGTTCTGTAAATATTGCCAGACCCCTTGGTCATAGCCAAGCGCGCGATACTGGCAGTCTCACCCGAACAGCAGAAGTTATAACGTCGGATGCGGCCTTTGTTTGCCTGATTGTTTTGCACAGATCAAGCTGTACGAGGCTCACATGAACGCTTCGGGATGACTGTGACGTACTTGGTGCCCATCCAGCGCTGTCCCTCTGGGACTATAGACCCTGCTCCGTTTGATCAAAAGGCTCTTCCAGCGTCAGTGCCCTGTCACCAGCACTTGGTTGTCTCCAGTTCCCTCCGAGGGATTTTTTGGCAAGTGGGAAGTCACGCATCTTTGCTCGCACGCAGAACACAAATGCCATCACTCATTCTCGTGGACGGGCGAACTCCATTTCCGCGCCCTTTCAGAAGCCCTGGCTTCTGATTCGAGACGGAGTACCAACAAACCTTCTGGTTTCGATTTCGAAGCCATCCGACCCAGTCCAGACTTCCGACTTCGACGCCGCGCGTCGAAGATCGTCGCATCGTCCAGGCTGGGCGCCGCGGAGCCTGGCGGACTTCGGAGATGGCGGGGCCTTCCCGGAGATTCACATGGCCCAGTGCGCCGAAGGAAGCCCCCGGGGAAATCGCGGGAAGGGCCGCGTTGTTCGCGTTTTTCCCCGCGTTTCGCGGCGTTTGGAGCCACTGACCGAGACGCAGGAAGTTGGCCATAGGTCCTTGGAAAGGGAAGGGGACAAGGATGGGGCACTGAGATTGCTTCTAGATGGACGTCACCTAGATTCTGATGACAAAGGCACAATGAATCTTGATATACCACATTGTATGCATGTAATATGTATATATATATATATATACATATATATATATATGTATGTATGTATGTATAGGTATAGGTATGTATGTATATGCATGTATTCATATGTATATGTATGTATGTATGTATATATATATATACACATACAATATGTATCTAAGTGTAAACGCACGTGCACAGTACCTACCGCGAATGTTCCCGCAGCTCAGCCGAACTGCTTAGGCTGTTGTTTGGCAGGACCCTGAAAGGTCTGGGCGCTCCTCTCACATTCGTTCATAGATTCAAACTGATGGAAGACAATCCTTAATCCGTTCTTGGGTATAAAAGGGTTCTTTTGTCGTGTGTTTTTCAAACACTCACGAAGATTTTGAACGGCCAAGGGATAGATTCACCCATGTATACCTTCACACACACACACACACACACGCATACAACTATTCTTGATTACACTCATATGCTAAGACGTTCTCAAATCCATCCATCTCCGCCCTCCGTCCGTCCGTCCTGCATCCGCCCATCCGTTCATCCGTCCGTCCGTCCGTCCGTTTGTCCACTTGTCCTCTGCTTTTCCGTTCCTGTTTGATGGAGCCTTAGGGCAGCGCTTCAGGTACCCGCTTGACATGGGCAAAGCTGGAAAGACCCACCAGCAGGCTGACTTGGGACTGGGGCCACTCTCTGCAAGCAACAAGAAGCCTTTGCGCAAGATGATTCGCTTCTTGGTTTCTGCTTGAAATTGCATCCAACCAGGTGCTGAAATTTTCATTCTGGTGGGACGAAGGGATCGAGTCACTGATGCAGGTTGTGGCGCTTACCACGGACTCCGATGGGAAGATCGCATGGGATGCTGTCATCAAACATAGGTCAGCCCGAGTCTTAGCAGAGCCTTGCGGACTTGAACTTGAGCAGTGTCAGATGTTGGGCTTGCCCAAGGTGATTTCGGAATGTCCTTGAATGGCAAAGCATGCTGGAAGCACGGGCTTACACTTTTTACCAAGGACAAACTGGCTGTTTGGACCCGGCCGGAGCACTCAAGAGAGAAGTGGTCCAAGCCAGAGGACTGACTTGTCGTTGCCCACTTTGCTTGCGCAACATTGGTCACGGGTCGCGCTATGCCAGTGAGAAACTTGGGACACAATTGAGGCTCTTTGTCGAACAGGGTTGGAGATGACATGTCATTGCTTGGATGGTTCATTGCTCGGATGGTTCAATCATGTCAATGTAGAGACTTAGACGTCCTTCAGCCCCGTTGCACCATTGGCTCGCGAGGAGCTTGAGAGACCATCCCTGGAGTTAGACATCCTGAACACCGAGCGAACGCAGAAGGCGCTGGAGATGGCCCTGAACGGCAAGATCCAAGCTGGTGTGTGGGCGCCTCGCGGCCATACTGCTCCAAATATCCTTTGAGACTTGAAGAGATGCAGGCCAAAGAAGCAAGAGCAGAAGGACTTGGCAAAGAGTTCTTTTCTTCTTCTTTGTGTTTAATACCTGAGTTTGGTCGTTGGTTTATGTTTTTTGAAATGCCTGTCCAGGAAGCTGAGTTTATTCGATACACGCCGAATCCCAATGCGTCGCCTCCTCAGTACTTTCTGCCTGCCTTTGGTTCAGAGACCTGGGGTGCTGAGGCCTGGCTACACTCCCAACTGCCGGGAGCCGTGCTTAGATTTGGTTGATTGGTGTTGGATGCTGTGAGAGGCTGTTGAAAAGCCATGAGACTAGTGCAGCGCATGTGGCCGTCATGTAACTTGAACACGTACTTGCTCTTATCATGTCCCAGCGGTCTGCCAGCGGGCCTGGTTGTTTTGTTTCTCAATCTAAGGAGCGTGTCATCAAGTTGGTGGAAAGGCAGATCGACCCATTCCAGCCGCCGAAGTTCAAGCACAAGAAGGCGCTTGCACTGGATTGCGAGCTGAGTGTCAGAGTTAGTGACTTATGTACCATGAGCATATTCCATTTAATTTTGGGAGGGGGTTTCCCACAAAGCAGAGAACGCGACCTCCCAAAGGTGCACACATGTCGCATGTGCCGCATGTCTATCGAACGTTGGACACGTTTCGCCTTTGCGAGGTGCCGAGAGGACCTCCATCGCCGCCGCCGCCAGTGCACCACTCTCCTCCCAAGAAGCTGACGGCCAAGGACGGAAGAGCTGTTTGATTTGGCCATGGGTCAACAGCCAAATCGTACCCTCAGTGAACATCCCACTCCTGATCTGAAATATGTTCTAAAATGGGTGGTGAATTCACCTATCCCAAAATGGTACCGAAACGGTTTTGACCCACAGCCATTTGTTGTTACTTGCTGGTGCGATAGGCAGGGAATGAGGGAATGACCGTTAAAAACCATTGCTTGTGGTTTCCTTTAAGGGTCATTCCCACATTCCCTACTGAGCACCAGCAAGGTTAGCCACTTGCAAGCCTCTCAGTAGGTTTGTTGCTTGATAGATCGACTGGGTGGAATTTATGCAAGCCATCTTGTCTCACAGCTTTGTATCCGAACTTGCTCGAGAGTGCTTTTCAAGCCTCTTATGCAAAAGTGGAGGACCAGAAGGATTGGAAGATCCCGCCGTGCATCTCCAATTGGAAGAACGCAAAGGCCTGGACGTGGCGATGCAGCGCATATGTCCCATGCTGGCGGATGGTCCTCAATGCACCCTGACAGGGATACACCATCCCGCTGGACAAGCGATTATCCGCGGATGGGAGAAGTTTGCAGGACTGAGTCGTGGTTTTGCAATCTGAGCTCAAAGTCTGTCAGACATTTCGTGCAGGACGTGGCAGTGAACGACAAGTTTGCCGCGATCAGCGAGGATTTGCGCCCTTATCAGATCACCGCCTTGGATGGTTCGTGGCACATTTGGCTCTGTGACTTTTGCGCCTTGGTGGAGCTACGCTGTGCCTTGCGCGGTAGGTACTTGGCCGAGCGTAAAGCTCGAGAAGAAATCAAGATCAGAAATGACTTGATGCGACAGAAGAAGGCTTGGCCTCGTACGTGAAGGGTGAGAAGCATCTGCAAGAAGCAAAGCAACGGATTGATGTGTGCTGTCTTTGCCGGCTCTGTTTAGATTGTGATGTGCTCAGCGTGATTCTAACGGCCTTTAGGTTCGGGAGGAGGAGATCAGAGAGCAGCAGCTGCGAGACTTGGCAGCCCAGGCGCCTCAACTTGGCACGGAGGTCTTCTTTTGCGTATCATGATTCCATCCTTCAAGTAGGACTCCGTCGGTTGATTGATACAAAAAAACCTGCTTTGTCATAGACAAGCGAGCGGCTGGCCAGTTCGACCGGCCATGTACTTTCAGCCAGGCAAGGGTGCAGCGCGCGGAACTCGCAGCAGCGTCCGAGCCTCGGTCGGATGTCCCCAAGCCTTTGGTTCCCATTTGCAAGAACTTGTACCCGGTGTCTCGTGCGAAGGCCTACCAAAGATGGGGAGGAGGGTAAGGAGGCTGAAGACAGACGGCAGCGCATGGAGGCCCCCTGCCTATTGAATTGCCATTGCAAAAGCGTCACAACTCTGCAAGCTCGTCTGGTGTTTTCTGGCGGCTCAAGGTCCTGAAGGAGCGACAGCGGGAGATAGAGCGAGACCAACGTTTGGAACTGGCAGGCATGGCTGGATAGGTTCGGTGCGAAACTTGTGCCGGAGCCGCCCGAGGTAAGAAGAACAAGCGCGGTCGCGAGGAAGACCGTGATGTCTCTGAGCGAATTGCGCTTGGACAGGCCCGTCAAAGATTCGAACGCACTTACTTGTGTGACAGCGGAAAGACACATCCAAGCAGCTGGTCAGGCAGCGCAGCCGACAAGCTCGGAGGCTATGTTTGACCAGCGGCTGTTCAATCAGTCAGCCGGCATGGTCGCAGCCTTAGCCCTTGACCTGCCAAGAAGCATGCCATAGCACAGATTCGAGGATAGTGGCTTCTCTGGTGGCAACGACGAAAAGGTCGCTGTCTACGACAAACCGCTTTTTGCAGACAGAAGCCGCCCGCTTGGTCACAGGCGTTGCTTCCCAGACAAAGAATCAAATCTAAGGCCAAGCTGGGATCTACAAATTTGACAAAGAGCGGCTGGAGCAGAACGAGGGCCGTGCCTTGGCTTCAACATGTATGCTGCATTTCTTTTTTGTGTCCTCAAACACGGGCTCTGTGTGCGGGGACGTTGTTTGTATTGAATGCTCCCAAGCCGAGGGCTGGCGCACATTGGCGAGGGTGGTGGCATGAAGTGCCGCCGGCGAAGCTTAATAGCAAGACCTCGACATCATGTGGCCACGGGTCAAAATCCCGCACCCCCACTGAACATCCCAATCCCCAATAAAATAGGTTCTAAAATGGGTGGTGAATTTAACCCACAGCCATGTCCTTCAGCAATTGCCAGATATGGCCCGCAGCGGCTCAAGTTCTGGATCTATCGCCGAGTTGGTCCGCCTGTCTCAGCCATGGCGGTATCCAATCACTCGCTGAAATTGAAACTGATGAAGTTGGTCAATGGCGAAGATTGGTTGCATGGAGAGGTAGCATGGGTGTCCAGTCACGACACAGTGCGTGATATTTGTGCGAAGTATCTGCCACCATTGGGCTTGAACCAACAGTACAAGGCTTTGTACAGAACCCGGGCGCTTGATGCGCATCAGGTTTGCGGTCTCTTGGATGGCTATAGATCTGATGACGCTATTGTGTTGCATGTTGGGCTGCAGAAATTCACCGAGGAGTTCGACAATGCATTGAGGGAGTCGATTCGGCATGAAAGGGAGGAGGTAGTGCAGCAACTGCTCGAAGAGGATAAACAAGTCATTCGAAGCTGGCACTGGGAAGAAGCAATGCAAATGAAGAACAAGTTTGTACTCCACTGCTTGGTGCACAATGCAACCGATTCGGAAAGCGGGTTGTGTATGGCAGTGAAAAAAGGCCTTCAGCTGCATGTGCGTACACTCATCGAAGCCAAAGCACCAGTGAACTGCACAGACAGCAGGCAATATAGTCCCCTGCATATCGCCGCATCCCTTAACAATAAGGACATGTTCAAAATGCTTCTTCAACTCCGAGCCGATCCACTTCTCAGAACCTATGCGGACACGCCACTACACAGCGTTGTTGTGCGAGGCCGTGAAGACATGCTTCGCCTCCTAGTAGACAACAATTCTGACGCAGACCAGTTAAAAAAAGAGCTGTCCCGAGCCTTGCATACGGCAGGATCCAAATTTTGTTACAGCCTCATCATGGTAAAGCAATTGCTGGAGGCACGAGCAGATGTAAATGGCAAGCAGGATGGCAACACACTGCTGCAGAGAGCGGTTCTGGCTGGCAACAGCGAGCTGGCATCCTGCCTGCTAGCGGGAGGGGCAGACCCTGACGCGGTAGACAAGGCGTCCTTGCTCTACGAAGTGTCAAAACGTGACATGATGCCACAGCTGCGACAGCTCTTGGACAGCAAGGCTGATGTGAACATCCAAAACCCCCAAGATGGGGCACGGCCCTTGCATGGGGCAGTGCTGAGCGATGCTAAAGACGTTGCGGCCTGCTTACTGGAAGCCAGAGCAGATATCAACGTGGAACACAGCCAGAAATCACTCTTGTATTTGGCAGCTGAAATGGGCTCTGAGAAGGTGCTCCCAGTTCTTCTGGAGCATGGTGCTGTGGCCCCTGAAAGCTTCTCGGGCAGTCCGCTTCAAGTTGCAATGCAGCGCAACCGGACCGGCATCATGAAGGCCCTCGTTGAGAAGCGACCCTTAGCCCACCAGGCTATGCAAGCAGCTTTGCAGAGCCAGTACCATCCTGCTGTGATCCGCTTCCTGAATTCATGCATGGAAGCAAGTTCTTGCGAATGTAAAGAGTGAGTCTTGAACTCGGCAATTCGCCAAGCGAGTTTTCATTTTCCAGTTGGGTGGTGGCAGTGACGACCCCAAGTTGAGGCAAGACTGCGACCAGGGATAGATTCGGTTTGCTAGCCAGCCACGTGCAGAAATGGGCTGGGCTGGCTCACCGTCTAGTAGATGCGAGCTCTAACGAAAATGGTGCCGTGCCAGCAAGCATTCGCCACAACTTGCCAGCAGTGTGCTGGCTCTTATGTTGCACCGGAGAAGCCTCATGCTCACTAGACCTTCAACCTCACTCTCTGTGTTCAACTCCAAGCCTTGGCATGTGACATTTGGGTGTTCCTCCAAAACAGGCTGGTCCCCTCCAAATGGGCCTGGTCCCATTCCGGGGGAAGACTCCCTTCCGCCGCCGCGCGACAACGCGACAACGCGTCTGCCAGGACGAAGAGTTTTGCTGGAGCCGCTGACGAGGCCGCGAGCTCCTCCCGGCGCAACGCCCCAGTGGAGTTCGAGTGCGAGGACGAGCCCAGGACGTGCCCTCCGCCATCCGCCCGTGCGTGCTGGGGGTCTCAAATGAAGATGAAGGCTCCTTGTCATCAGCTTTCTAAGAACAAACTGAGAGTCGACCTGGTGCCAATGATTTGGAGAGACGTTTTGATGCCTTTGACCATCCCATCGGCTGCAAAACAGAGCTCCAGCACTCGTTTGAGGCCATGGAGTATCTTGTGCACTTCATCTCAGTTTTGTAGCGCCGAACTCGCCAACAGGCGTGCCACCCGTTGGCGTTGCTCAAGCACAGTACAGGAGCTCCGGTCGGCGCAGCCGCAGCCCTCGCCGCGGTGCTTGGCCCTCAGAGTGCCCAAGGGCAAGGGGGCCCTCGGGCCCTCACATGGCGAATGAGCCAGCAGTTCGCCAAATCTCAGAGCCAGCTTAGTGAAAGCAGCCAAGTCAGCCAAATTTCAGATGAGCCAAAGCCAAATGAGCCGAATGAGCCGAATGAGCCGAATGAGCCAACAAGGTCTGAGCAAACTTATTGGGTCGTGTCGCTGGGTTGGGAAGTCTTGTGCCCATCCACCTGCTACTCTCAGAACGACTTGGCCACCGATGGGCTTCTGGAGGACACATGCGAAAGCAGTTTTTGGATGCCAAAATCAGATTTGCAGGCACTACTCTCCATGAAAGAGTGTGTTTGTGCTTCATCATGCGAGGGAAAGTGTGCCGAACGATATAGGACCCTCCGATATAGGACCCTTCGAAAACGATGACGCAGATTGTGGATTCGAGCGGAGCTGCCAAAATGCACTTTGCGTGGTGGTTTTATGCTTCAATGGTGCCAAAGGGCAATTTCGAGCCAGAGCTATTTTCGTTCGGACACGATGCGACTTTCGTATCAAACCAGTTGCGACTTGAGAGCAGAAGCTGCCAATGGGCACTTTGTGTACTGCTTCTGGACTGAACAGTTCCCGCTTTTTGGGCGAGTTTGTGCTACGTTCCAGCACTCTGAGTTGTCGAGTAGCACAAACACTGTAAAACGATACAGTACAGGGGCGCTCGAAAACGATAATGTGTATCCACAGCCGCTTCAGGCCCATTTCGGTTTTGCCCAAATGGACTGCTGCAGGACACGAAGAAGAAAAAGAGCAAGCTCTGAGCTGAGTGCAGGGTTGCCATCAGAGGCCAAGTGCCATTCGTCTAAGTCGACACCGTTACCCATTTCATGTCGAAGTCACATTGAAGCTTCAGCTCCGTCAATAGATTGCGAGTGACGTACCTGCTACGAAATGCAGATATTATGAAATGGCAGCGGACTTTGAGGAAGTTTATTGAAAGTGCTTATACAAGATCCAACACGACTTCTACTGCCTTGAACACTCTCCTTTCATTGTGTCGGGGTTCACGCAGGTAATACCGTGATGCATGTCCGAGCTGTTCCTTGGCGGATGCAGGCGCATGTCTGTGTCTGTCTATGTCTGTCTGTGTCCGCGTCTGTGTCTCTGTGTCTGTCTGTATGTCTGTGTTTGTCTGTTCCGTCTGTTCTGTCTGTGTGTGCCTGTGTCTGTCTGCGTCTGTCTGTGTCTGCCTGTGTCTGGCTGGCTGGCTGTCTTTCTGTCTGTGTGTCTGTCTGTCTGTCTGTTTGTTTGTTTGTTTGTGTCCCGGGCAGGCTTTGTAACGCAAGGAAATCGATGGTAGCGGCTTTCCTTTGCCATTCCATTTGTAGGAGGCAGAATACTCGTTGAACCCAATTTGCAAGTGATGAACGCAACAAAGATCAGGGCAGAAGAGTTTTCCATTTGTCCAAGGGGCTTTTTTTGGTATCGCCAGACAAGATCAGGCCATGCCATTTTTTGTAAGGCACAAAAATGGCGTTGGCTTGCGTCAGGCTTTGGACCTTGCGGCCAAGGGATCGATCCCATCCCGCCGGAAAACGTGCGGAGTGGTGTTGACGCCAGCCGAAGGGAAAGGCTTTTGTGGCTTTAGCCTCATGCGAATTCCCATGCCTGCCGGGGTCCGAGGAAGTATGTTTGGGCCATGAGAAAAGAGACGCCGTTTACTTCAGATTCCAAGATGTTTTGAAGACTCTTGAAGGTGCAAGCGTGTGCAGATGATGACACATTCTAGCGAAAGCACGCTCTTCGCGCCTCTACCCCAGAGCAGATGTAGAGGATCCTCGTTGCGGAATCGCAAGCTTCACGCGCGACACCTATGATAGCGGAATCTGAAGTTCAAACGACTCAGCTTTCTTTGTTGACAGGGCCGTTTGGCGGGCTTATCATCCTCAAAACTCAGTCATGACTTATTCCTGCAGCCATCCCTTGTAAATATTCTAAGAGGCGGATGTGCCGAATATCAGCTAGTGACCGTCTAGGAAATCTCGATCTACGCCTGCGTCGGGCAGCAAGACTCACTTGTTGATGATGCACTCACGCATGTCGAAGCAGATCCCCAAAAACAGCTTTGTTTAGCTGCCCCAGTAAACTCTTCAAGATATGCCACTCCGCGAGATTCTTTTGAGGGGTTTGATTAGGTGGTTAAAGACTGCAGTGCAAGTTCAAATGATGCTGAGAAAGGACAGCTTGAGTTGCCACGTCACTTGTCGTTAGACGTGGACTTAGGAACAGCCTTAGCTTTGGAATCGGCCTTGGGCTTGATAGATTTCTCGAATGCTCTGATACAAGCTCTGGCCAGGTCAATGCAGTCCTTAGCCACTTGACTGATCTCATGTATTCCTTGATCACCTCGGAGTAGTGCCGGTTTCCATCCTTCTTCTGCAACATGTTTTCCACGCCGTCAAGCGCTTGATCTGGTCCTTAGACAGCTTCAAGAGCGGACGCCACTTGGGCCAAACATCGCTGCCCAGAGACGCTGACCACCAGCTTGTGGCGATTTGTTGCAACAATGGACCATGAGACGTGCCAACGGACATGCAGAGCATTGGAATTGGAGAACAGCGTGCTTGACGTAATGGCTTTGTGCCCGGATCTTACATGCCGAATTGCTGTCAGGGCTGCGCTTATCAGTGGTGCAAAGTCCAATTCACAAAAGCATCCTGGGCTTCCGAAATTATACGTTTTCTTTTTTCCTGGATAATACTTTTTTTGTTCTCCGAATGGCATGTTGTTCTTTTCCGAATGGTGCTTGTTTCCGAATCAAACCATAACCCTTCTCAGGCCCTGCGCAAAAAGGCACCTCCCGCCATTCGCAGGACAAGCGTTCGGGTTGCTTTTGCAGCTGCGAAGAGTTTTGCTTGGGTACATCCAGCGGTCACGGATTTTCTTGCTGCCATGATTTGAGAGCGGCGCCAGGGGGTTCTTTGCAGCAGAGGGCATGCTGTGACAGCATGTGCGAGCGCTCTGCATAAAGCTGTCTTGCTCAAGTTTCCTTGTGTTTTGTTTCAGTTTCCATCGCGTTGAGTGCTTGTGCGTTGGGCTCTGCAGCCAGCTTTGCTCATATATCAAGGCCGGCGTTGCTGGCTAGCTTGACATTGCTCTGATCCAAGCATGGCCTTGGCAAGGCTGCTCCTTCTTGCCTTTTCGTTCGCGCGTTGCGCGGAATGCGGCGAGCCTGCGTGTGGCGATGGCGCAGACGGCTTGGCTCTGCTGCAAGTGTCAAAGCCACCAGCCCCGCATGCCGCGCAGGAGGTGATCGAGAAGCACTTCGCATCCGTCCCGCCAGGCGGCGGTTCTTTGCGAAGCAACTTTGTCCGTAGCCCCGGTCGACTGACCAGCTCCGCGTGGGAGTGCTCAGAGATAGACTTCAACCGTTTCTACGGGGTGAACGACACCTCGGTGCAGGCGTTGATGGAGAAGTTGGGGGTCACCCGCTACTGCGGTTCCACAGAAGGGGGCGGCTCTGCCCCAGGGGATCCCAGCTGCAAGGCTTTCTGGGCCGGATTGAAGGCGCACCTCGAGTTGCAGGAGCTGGGCTTCGACCCCGTCTTCAAGAACTTCGAGGCGCGGCTGACGGCAGCTGCCTGCCAGCTGCATTTGGTTTTGGCCGGGATGGTTTACTAAGCCTAGGGGAGTTGGGGAGGTTTGCCATCTCGGCGTGCGCTAAGCCGGCAGGTGGTGAACTGGTGGCAGCCCGCGGGGGGGCACTATGCATCCTGGGGTGACACGCCCCTGGTGGAAGTCGACTATGCGCACGGCGAGGTGAAGTCTTGGCAGGTCTTGGACAAGAACGCCGTCTCAGGCTATGCGTTTTGCGACCTGGTGCAGGGAGTCTTGCGGCAGAACGCCGACCAAGCCGGTACCGCAACCTGTGGTCCCACAGCGGTGCTGGCAGCCCTGACTCAGGTGAACCCCGCGGGTGCCATCAAGAGAGGCTTGGAAATCTTCTGGACTGGCACCATTCCCGAGCTGCCTGCGGACGCACAGCCATGCGAATACCTATATTCTGAAGTGCCCCCCGGGGTGATTCCATTTCTGCCAGGACAGCCAGGCACGGAAGGTTCCGCTGGGCGCGCGCTTTTGCTGCCCTGCTTGGGCAACGAAGCAGACTGCGAGCAAGCAGTAGACGCCCCCAACACCCAAGCTGGCTTGCAGGGCATGTGGTCCTTGATGTTCGGCTCAGCCAGCGACCGTCGCAAGACCGGAGGCTGCAGCGAGAACTACTGGTACGTGAGATACCCCGGTAGGGACCCGAGGGAAAATGCCCTGGTGCGTATGGAGACCAGTGTTGCTGATATCATGACTCTGTGCGACACGGTTCTGGGTGAGAGGGGAACGTGCAAGTACTTAACCAACTACGACCTATGTGACAAAGTGAAGCTAGAGGACAAGGAGCAGTGCCGGCGATTCCACACGATCCCCGGCCTCACTCCGCAAGACATGAACGCATTCGAGTTGTATGAGAAGCACGGCGCAGTGCCTGCTCCCTTTGGTGAGATTTTCCAGCAGAGCATGGCGCCGGGGGGACGCATACACAGCTTTTTGGCCGGAGTGACCGCCCTCGGCTTGGGCGCTGGTGAGTTGATCGCAGCAGTAACCATGTCCAGCCTGAGCGAGTCGGTCACTGAGCAGTTGTGCTCCAACCCACGGGGTTCACTCCTTTTTGTCTACGCCGGGGGATTGCCAGCTTCAGCCCGAGGAGGGACATCCCTTTGACGGCCCTGGGAACCCAGAGTATAGTGCCTGTAACCACTGGGTCTATGCTGAGGGCTGCAACTTTGGCCCTGAGAAGGATGCTGTCTCCATTTGGACCTGGGGCTATCGCATGTACGTGACCAAGAACTTCCTCATGACCAGCAACGGGGGCCACCCTCTAGTTTGTGGCGGCATTCTGGTGCCGTAGGGTGCGATAGTGCCACTCCCCACAAGGAGCGCACACTGCGTGTAATTAACTAGCTGGCGATGTCCAGCTGACACTCTTCAGTGCATCGGAACTGGCATGATGAGACCCATTGTTCGACCAGGCGAGTCGGAGCTGCCAGGCAGTCGTTCTCCTGCCTGCCACAAAGGCGCAAAGGAGTGGAAAAGGGGCGCAGAACACTTGCACGCTGCGAACGTCTTCACCCCGGCATTTGGAGATTTGGCGCGGCGTTCTGCAGCGGCTTGCGCACCCCGCAAGGAGATTCACTGCATGGGATGAGAGGTTGCCCGGGCCCAATGCATGTACACATGTGAGTCACGGTGAACATAGGCGTATATCACTTTAGGAAAGCGTGTTTGGTTGCGGCGTAAAATTTGCAGAAAGCCTCGCAGCTGTGCAGGTCTAAACTCTCGTCGACTTTCTTGCGGAGCTGTGCTCACGCAGACAGTTGGCCGGTGCCGGGGCTGAGCTGAAGCACATGTTGCATCATGACAATCGATTAGAGTTTATCAGTATTTGTTTACAGCGGTGTGTTTGTATTTATTCTTGTGACTGCGATTTAAATCACGCTGAACTGCCATGTGACATGCCCTTATCATGCACCGCGATGATGCAGTGCTATGCGTGCCCTCTCAATTATGGCAGTATGTGGCACTGGCGGTATTGCTCCCGGGACTGCGCAAAAGGATGCGTTGGACAAACTCGGATGGTGCTCAGAGCTTTGCAAAAGAAATGAGAAGCATTCTAATAGGGACGCCGGCTCGATAGCTCGAGCTCCTGATCAATTACTCGGGATTGGGAGGGTGTCAAATTTTGAGTGGCTTTAACCGCCATGGCCATGTGGCGGGCAGGAAGGAGTGGTCTTGTTCGGGGTGCTGGATGCGTGTTTAGTCCTTCGGGCTTCCCAAAGACATCAAAGACCATGTCACCACCAAAGTTTTGCAAAGGTGCCAGCGTTGAAAGGCTGGAATCCTCCTGCACTTCGGACAGCGAACTATTTGCTGTAGACGGCGGCAAGCGATGGTTTCATGTACTTCGAAGGCGCGGACTATCCATGAACAGTTTTTAGTTCATATTTATGCCTACGGCCTCTGAGCCGGCGACGCCAGAAGTTGTCAGAGTCGCTTCCAGCACTTTCCAGCAGCTTCAGTGTCACAGACCTCTGTAGCATCAATTCCATGTGTGCCTGAGCATCAGCCATCGCCAACATTTTGTTGGCAGGTGCTTCCCAAATACACAGTATCTAGGACGAGTGTTCTTTTGGGCGGTAGTGCGTGTGTTCAGTCTGAAATCCGTGACCTGTTGCGTGTATGCCCTGTGGCGGGGTTCTTAGCATGCTGTGCGTGCCGTTGCGGGTGTGTGTGTGTGTGTGTGTGTGGCGGGGTCCTTAGCATGTCGCGTTCAGTCTGACATGTTCGACCTAGAGCGGGTGGGCCCTTTTTCGGCGTTCTCATAGTGAGTGAGTGAGTGAGTGAGTGAGTGAGTGAGTGAGTGAGTGAGTGAGTGAGTGAGTGAGTGAGTGAGTGAGTGAGTGAGTGAGTGAGTGAGTGAGTGAGTGAGTGAGTGAGTGAGTGAGTGAGTGAGTGAGTGAGTGAGTGAGTGAGTGAGTGAGTGAGTGAGTGAGTGAGTGAGTGAGTGAGTGAGTGAGTGAGTGAGTGAGTGAGTGAGTGAGTGAGTGAGTGAGTGAGTGAGTGAGTGAGTGAGTGAGTGAGTGAGTGAGTGAGTGAGTGAGTGAGTGAGTGAGTGAGAGTGAGTGAGTGAGTGAGTGAGTGAGTGAGTGAGTGAGTGAGTGAGTGAGTGAGTGAGTGAGTGAGTGAGTGAGTGAGTGAGTGAGTGAGTGAGTGAGTGAGTGAGTGAGTGAGTGAGTGAGTGAGTGAGTGAGTGAGTGAGTGAGTGAGTGAGTGAGTGAGTGAGTGAGTGAGTGAGTGAGTGAGTGAGTGAGTGAGTGAGTGAGTGAGTGAGTGAGTGAGTGAGTGAGTGAGTGAGTGAGTGAGTGAGTGAGTGAGTGAGTGAGTGAGTGAGTGAGTGAGTGAGTGAGTGAGTGAGTGAGTGAGTGAGTGAGTGAGTGAGTGAGTGAGTGAGTGAGTGAGTGAGTGAGTGAGTGAGTGAGTGAGTGAGTGAGTGAGTGAGTGAGTGAGTGAGTGAGTGAGTGAGTGAGTGAGTGAGTGAGTGAGTGAGTGAGTGAGTGAGTGAGTGAGTGAGTGAGTGAGTGAGTGAGTGAGTGAGTGAGTGAGTGAGTGAGTGAGTGAGTGAGTGAGTGAGTGAGTGAGTGAGTGAGTGAGTGAGTGAGTGAGTTGAGGGAGGGAGGGAGGGAGGGAGGGAGGGAGGGAGGAGGGAGGGAGGGAGGGAGGGAGGTGAGGGAGGGAGGGAGGGAGGGAGGGAGGGAGGGAGGGAGCGAGCGAGCGAGCGAGCGAGCGAGCGAGGGAGCGAGCGAGCGAGGGAGGGAGCGAGTGAGTGAGTGAGGGAGTGAGTGAGGGAGCGAGTGAGTAAGTGAGTAAGTGAGTAAGTGAGTAAGTGAGTAAGTGAGTAAGTGAGTAAGTGAGTAAGTGAGTAAGTGAGTAAGTGAGTAAGTGAGTAAGTGAGTAAGTGAGTAAGTGAGTAAGTGAGTACGTGCGTAAGTGAGTAAGTGCGTAAGTGAGTAAGTAAGGGCGGGCGAGCGGGTGGGCGGGGACCTGATCCACAGATTTTGCGTCACGCCTTTGAGCGTCCTTGATTTGAGCAGAAGCTCGATGTCTCAGTGCGCGATATTAGGAGAGATATCTCATGCAGGACAGACCCAAGGGTGATGGTCGGAAGCCAAACTTTGCAGAAGCCGCTCAGTCTAGCGCAAGAGTGGCAGAATCTGTTCAAAACTCTAGATGTTGCAGGTGCCGAGCTGTTTCAAAAGATCAGGGCAGCAGAGTTTTCCGTTTGTCCAAGGGGCATTTTTTTGGTATCGCCAGAAAAGATCAGGCCATGTCATTTCTGGTAAGGCACCAACAATGACATCGGACTGGCGTTGGCTTGCGTCAGGCTTTGGACCTTGCGGTCAAGGGATCGATCCCATCCCGCCGGAAAACGTGCGGAGTTGTGTTGACGCCAGCCGAAGGGAAAGGTTTTTGTGGCTTTAGCCTCATGCGAATTCCCATGCCTGCCGGGGTCCGAGGAAGTATGCTTGGGCCATGAGAAAAGAGACGACGTGTACTTCAGATTCCAAGATGTTTTGAAGACTCTTGAAGGTGCAAACGATGACACATTCTAACGAAAGCACGCTCTTCGTGCCTCTACCCCAGAGCAGATGTAGAGGATCCTCGTTGCGGAATCGCAAGCTTCACGCGCCAAACCTTTAAACGACGTTGGTCGGGCCTTATCATCCTCAAAACTCAGTCATGACTGATTGTTCTTGCAGCCATCCCTTGTAATTATTTTAAGAGGCGAATGTCCCGAATATCAGCCAGTGACCGTCTAGCAAATCTCGATCTATGCTTGCGTCAGGCAGCAAGACTTGCTTGTTGATGATGTCCTCACGCATGTCGAAGCAGATTTGTTTGTTTGCCGCACCATGCATGGAAGCAATCTTTGCCCTCACATGAAGCCGCAATAACAGCTTTGTTTAGCTGCCCCAGTAAAGTCTAAAGACTGCAGTGCTAGTTTGAGTTGCCACGTCACTTGTCGTTAGACGTGGACTTAGGAACAGCCTTAGCTTTGGAATCGGCCTTGGGCTTGATAGATTTCTCGAATGCTCTGATACAAGCTCTGGCCAGGTCAATGCAGTCCTTAGCCACTTGACTGATCTCATGTATTCCTTGATCACCTCGGAGTAGTGCCGGTTTCCATCCTTCTTCTGCAACATGTTTTCCACGACGGTCAAGCGCTTGGTCAGGTCGTTAGACAGCGTTGACTCGATCGCGTCTAGCCATTCGGCCTAAGTCTGAATGTTACGAGGCACGGACGCCAATTGGGCCACACATAAACATCGCTGCGCAGAGACGCTGACCCACCAGCTTGTGGCGATTTGTTGGAACAGTGGACCATGAGACGTGCCAACACACATGCACCGCATTGGAATTGGAGAATATTCGTGCTTGCCGTGATGGCTTTGTGCCCGAATCTTACATGCCGAATTGCTGCCAGGGCTGCGCTTATCAGTGGCGCAACGTCCAATTCACAAGAGCACCCCGAGCTTCCGAATCATACGAATGTGCTCCGAATGGCATGTTGTTCTTTTCCGAATGGTATGTGACCCTTCTCAGGCCCTGCGCAAAAAGGCACCTCCCGCCATTCGCAGGACAAGCGTTCGGGTTGCTTGTGCAGCTCCGAAGAGTTTGGGTGCATCCAGCGGCGGATTTTCTTGAAGCCATGATTTGGCTTCGGGTCAAAACCAATGGTACCATTTTGGGGTAGGTGCACCACCCAGTTTAGAACCTGTTTTGGTGGGGATTGAGAACATGATTTGGGATTGAAAGTTCACTGAGGCTACGATTTGGATTTTGACCCAGGGCCATTTGACAGCGAAGCCAGGGGGGTCTTTGTGCAGGATGCAGACAGGTTTGCTACGCTGAGCCAGGATTTGCACGCTCCCAAGGAAGATGCTTTGCCAGGTTGCCGTTGCCATGAGGCTCATTGCATTTCCGCTCCCAGGCGTCTTGCAGAGCAAAAGGCACAGTCAGATACGAAGACAAGAAGGAGTCGCCTTCAACAACAGAAGGTGCGCAACGCCTTTTGACTGATTTCCTAGAAGGCAAGCTTTGTCCTGGAAGGGACCTGAATTCAGTGACTCATTGCTCCATTGAAGTTCGCAAGGTCCGAGAGGAGGAGATCCGAGAGCAACAGCTGCGAGATTTGGCCGCTGAGGTGCTTTGAGAAGTTTTTGGGGCTGGCTTTTTTCGGAGCGATTGAGCGGCTCCGATTCGCCGAAAGTGTGGCAGAGACAGTGTCCAGGTGTTCTTACAGAGCTTGTGTTTGTTGGGCGATGCTCAGCTTTCAAAACAGGTGAGGCAAAGACGTGCAGAACTTGCAGCGTGAGCGCTTCAGCTTTGACTTGTAGACCTGAGAAGGTCGCAACATGTGCCGGCTCATTGATGCAACAAGAGGGTTGTTGCTGAGGCCGCTGCAGGATGGCAGTGAAGCAATCAAACAACGCCAGCGCATGGAGGCTTTCCATTGGCACACCCGCCCCCCCTGCCGAATTCGCTGCCCCAGGTCTTGATGCAGCGGCAGCGCGAGATTGAGCGCGACCACCGCCGAGAATTCGCAGGCACGGCCCGGAGGCTCAGAGCAAAGCTGGCGCCCTGGCGCCTGAGGCAAGAGGCGCCGTCGCGAGGAAGACCGCGACATCTCCGAGCGGATAGCGCTTGGACAGGCCAGCTCCGAAAAACATAGAGGGGTTGTGTGGAATGAGGAAGGAAGCAGTTTCAGCAGATGCAAGCAGCCAGGCAGCGCGCCCAACAAGCTCGGAAGCTATGTTTGACCAGCGGCTCTTTAATCAGTCAGCAGGCATAGCCGCAGCCTCAGCCTTTGTCTGCTTCTGAACATGTACTTGGCCACTGGAAGGATAGTAGCTTCGGTGTCTATGACAAACCGCTCTTCGCAGACAGAAGCTTTGCACTTAGTGCTTTTGTGTCGGGCCACATTGACTGAGATCTGTTCAGCTCAGGCCGGGCGCACATTGGCAGTGGTGTCACGCGCTCCTGACGAGAGTTGTTACGATCGCTTTGAAATAACAGCTTCGGCGCAACAGTTGCTGTGCTTGTTCTGGAGGCAGACGATTTTTCTGCATCCCGCTAGCAGCTACAACAGCAGCTTAATCAATCTGAAAAAAGAAAAAGGGAATGGGCTGCTTCGGACGTAGAGGCCAATATCATCATCGTCAACCATAAATCAGAAGCAGTGTCTGAACATGAGGGGCGCGGCCTCCGGCGCGGGAAACAACCTCAGTTGGCGGCGTTCACTGGCAGGTGCCGTCGCAGCGTGCCGGTTCAGTTCGAATCCGACTAGGCGCCTACCTGAGCAGCGATCCATGACTCTATACTTCCAGGTGGAAGCGGGGCGACAATAAGGGCGAAGAATAAGCTTTCGCGCCAAACAGAGACATATTTTGGGCTTGACGAACAAGGAAATTGCAGGTTGTGACCTCGGGATCCGATCAACTAAAAGGCTGATCAAAGACGGATTTCCCCCACTGTGTTGGTATCTTGTGGGATGGCGGGCTCTACGTACAAACGTGACATTGAGATCATCAAGGACCAACCCCACTCAGCGTCTTTAGCGCTACGCTCTGAATGAGGCTGCGAATGTCCTCATGGCGGCTAGGCCCGGGCAGGTCTTTCCAAGCAACTCCATGCAGTCATGCTGGTGAGCAAAAACGTGCTTTGGCAATCGTGCCAGGACTGTCTCACTGGACTTTGTCTCAATGTTGGTTTGTTGCGTCGAGACTAGGCATAATGGAGCGCTTCTCTTTGGAGTGCTATGAAACAACACAAAACGTGGTTAGTGGTTTGCGGTCTTGTGGCATTTCGCCAAAGCAACCCAAATAACACTATTTGTCACTGTCCCTTATGATTGCGCAGGTGAGACTTTGTACAGTCGGACGAGCTGCGGCAGAATCACTGCATGCAGGCGGCGCTGAGGAACACGCTGAGTTCGAGATTTATCTTGCACTCTGCTGATTTCAGGCAGCCCTGCCTTCTTTTTGGGGTCAATCTTCAAATGGCTGTGGTTGTCAAAACCGATGGGATCCCATTTTGGGGTAGGCGCACCACCCATTTTAGTCTATTTCAGTTTGGTTTGGGATGTTCACTGGGGGTACAGGGTTTTGAAATGGAGCCGGCCAATGGCGAAGAAATGCCTTCCTCGACAGCTCCCAGGCAGATTGCGGCAGCTTCGTGTAGCTCCTTGGCCAAGCTGAGGGTGGCAGCGCATCATCGACCTGCTGCTTGTGAATGGGGTTGGCTGGTTGGTTGGTGGCTGGCTGGCTCCCCCACCAAAGTTGGCTGGTCGAAGCTGCAGAGTTGACCCACGTGGCCACCTGCGCCATTGATCATACCAAGGCTCTCCATGTGTCGCCTTGATTTCCTTGAAGCGCACGTGGCCGCAAAAGAGTCGGCCCCGCGCGTCTTTGTTTTGCTTGATGTGGTGGTGGCAACGCTGAACCGTTCTGGCACGCGCGCGGCAGTTTTTTGGTAGAAGCCATGAAGCCAACGAGCATTGCACTGATGGATTCAGGGCCAATCTTATGCAAAATTGCTCTTGATGCAGTGGGTCGGAATCATGACAGCAGTTCAGCCACCAACGCTCCAAACACACACACACACACAACCACACCCATGCATACGTGCAAACAAACACGAACATCGACAACACCTGCGAAAGAAGCTGGAGCTGACCGCTTGTGATGATTGGCCTTGCGCCTGAGCACTCGCGGTTTGGAGCGGAGCAATTCTTATTCTCGGGACTGGGGTCAGGTTTGTCATGGGCTACATGTTAGACGCCCGAAGCTCAGCCGCGGGAAAGTTTTGGTGCCTGAAATGGCCGATAGCGGGATGCACCAGTTTGACAGCGTCTGACAGGTTCAGTGGTTGGCCTTTTTGAAGCCAAGGGTTGTTTTTCGTCGACGAGTGACAGAGATCCTGGGAGGTGGGAAATCTGACGTGTCGATTGAGAGTTGGATCAGCTCCAGAGAAGGGGTGGCTGGAAACCTTGGAGCCATTGTTGCACGATTCGACTCAAGCCCACCAAGTGATGCGTCCATGCGCTAGGGGTTTAGAGATATGGCAGTGAGTCAACACCAATGGTACCATTTTGGGGTAGGTGCACCACCCATTTCAGTCTATTTTAGTGGGGATTGGGATGTTCACTGGGAGTACGGGATTTTGACCCATGACCAAAGGCGACTGCTATGTTTGGTGAAGGTTACTCACTTTGCAGTACTGTCGTTTGATCTTGGCCTGGCCACCGCGAGTTTTAACACCACACTGCTGGCCCCGCACGTGAGGTTGTGCTAGAGGGAACCCTGGAGGGTGACGGCGTGGATTGTGAAGGCGAAGGCGACGTGGGCCGAAGGGGGCGACGGTGGCAGTTTCCATCTAAACTAAGCCAACGAGGCAAGAACTGGGCCAGTTGTGCTGAGATGTCCTTTCTTCTTTTTTTTGAACTGGACCGTCGGAGCAGCGATGATCAAGAACCTTTGGGCACGATTTTTGGGCCTGAAACACGTTTGACTGATGGGAATACTCCCCCAAAATACCTTAGCGCGCCCGTTTGGCAGCAAGGTTTGCCTGAAAAATTGAGTAGCTTGCTTGCAAACCTCATTTATTCCGTGAACGTTGGAAACAAAGTAGGGAACGCTCATCAGCTACCGCACTGGAAGATCTCGGCCATATCTTGTGTCTAGTCAAGTATGTCCTGCTCTGGTTTTGCCTCATCAAGCAGCTGCAAGTGGAGCACACCATGTGTTCGAGTCAAAGCGCTTTGGATGAATGCAGAGCATCTTCTTCATGCGTTCTGCAGGTACAAGTTTTACATTTCGAGCCCGCTGTTTCGTGGGGCAAGCCGCCCATCTGCCAGGTGACTGTGAGGACTGGGATCGATCCATGGCCTTGGTCCCTTTTCGGACTGGGATCCCAGACCCTCCGCGCCTTTGGGTCTGTTGAGGACGAGCGCTTGCTGCGGGAGGCGAAGTTTGCGCCGGCGTGCCGGGCGGCGATTTTCGGACGTGGCCGAGCGGCAGGCCTTGAAGGAGCTGGACTTGGCCAGAGCCCGGGTGCTGGCCCCAGCTCCAAATCACCCGGTGCCCGGGTCAAGTCGAAGCCAGCCCGCCGTTTAGCGCACGTGGGAAGCTCGAATTTGGGCTCCTTGAAAGGCGAACCACGCCGAAGAGGAGATGTGGCGGTGTCAGGAGGCTTCATTGGGCGTGCTTGTTTTTGTTTTGCCGCATCCGGGTGCTCCCAGCCCAGCCCAGGCTGCGAGCAAGCTGAAAGGCAATGTCCGCAGGATGGCCATTGTGCTGTTCTGAGGGGGCGCCTCTGTGCTGAGTGGCATAGAGAATGGCGGAGCATGGGTCCAGGTCCGTTCGTTTTCCGAGCCTGACAAGGACGGTCTTGCCCTTGACATTGAGACTCGAGCTTTTCAACCAGAAGCAAACAGGTAACATGCGGCTTTTTCCTTGGGTGACCCTTTTTGACTGCCTGCCCCTGAAGAATCTCTTGGGCAGTAGGCGGCAGCCAGCCAGCAATGAATCACACAAACTCAGCGGGGCGGGAGTCTTGCGTGGATCACGCCTGGCTGGGTTCTTCCTTATGCCTCAAGAGTTGTGTGCACGCAAATCACTACACACACACACACACACACTTTTTTTCCTCCTTTTTTTTTAAGATGGCATTTTCTTGGTTGCTCAAGTGATGGCTGCTATGAGTGGCACTGGAGTTTGGGTTTTGGGGCCCATGCGCGCAGAACTCTCCGTTGCAAGTCCTGGGGGCTCACGAGCTGCGCGCCGGGCCCCCGGCACCCCGGCACCCCTGGACCGGAGGTCTTGGGGGATAGGATGCGATAGCTTCTGGCGGAGCACAACAAAAAGCTAGGGTTGAATTAAAGGCTTGCGTTTTTTTTTTTCCGCCTTTTTCTTCTTCTTTGATTTCTAGTATCATTTATTTGTTTATTTTTCCCCCGGAGATCATGATAGATGTGAACAGGTGCAATGGTTGCAGAGACTTTCGACTGCAGCTAGTTAAACACTTCTTTCCAGTCTTGAAAGTGCCTTTTTGATAATTTTTTGGAGGGCAGGATATTCTTGAGTGGTTAAAGCTTTCACCGCCACTCTTGCAGCGCAATGTCACCGCCACTCTTGCAGCGCAATGTGGGAGCCTGCGTACCCTTGATTTGGCAGTGGCGACATCCCTGCGCACATGGCTCAACTGGAAGCCCTTCCTAAGGGCTTGGGGTAGCCTTAGAGAACAGTCTTTGCACATGAACTTTGAGGCACTAAACTGGCTCAGGTCAATGTGGATCAGCATGAAGTTGCGCGGGCAGCGCACTCAGAACTCTGTGGGGACTCCTCCCCCCCGGGGGCCACCACGTCCTGATTTGCTCTAAAATGAAGAGCCAAGTCGTGGAAGGTAGGCTACATGAGCCATGCGCAGGCGAGCCGGCGGCGCATGAGCACAGGCCAGCGCGACACACGTGCCAACGAACGCCCCAGAAGCGATTTCGAGTCGCAGTCATGCGGTGCAAGAGATTCAAGGTGTGTCATGCCTTTGGCAGGATGCATGCCAGATTCGAAGCCAAGGCGGTGCGAGGACACTTGTCTTTCATGCGCATGAACTGCTGGGCAGGCGGACCCCCTTGCCTGTCATGGAGTTTGAGCACATCCTTGGCCAGGAGGACATTCGCACTCCTTTCTTTCAACAAATGTCCAGCCGAAGAAAAACAGGAAAAAACGGCACACAGTCGAGTTTGCAGGAGAACCGGGTCTTTCAGATGTTGAAGCCGGACATTGATGCGGCACTGGCCGGGGAGGCGGGAAAGTCTGTGTAGGTAGTCGTGGGTGGGTGGGTGGGTGGGTGGGTGGGTGGGGTGGGGTGGGGTGGGGTGGGTGGGGTGGGTGGGTGGGTGGGTCGGTGGGGTGGGTCGGTGGGTCGGTCGTTGGGGATTTGCGACGGCCAGGTGGCTTGCGCCTTCGTGTGCGGCGCTGCCAGCAGCGACAAGAGCCTGCTGGCGGATCACCTGGCAGAGAGAGCAGCTCACCGAGGGCGAATCGAATGGTCAAATTAAAAGTCCTATGCACTGTGGTTTTCATGGGTCTACCATACCACGGTTGTTTTAGCATGGAGAATCTTATTGATTGGTGTAACATATAGGAGGCTTGTTATGGTTAGATGCCCGTGTCTAAAGTCCAGGTGCTTCAGCCAGACCTCAGTCCATCGCCTCAGGTTGCCGCCCAGCTGGACGCTGTCCTCGCAGATGTGCAAGTGGATCTCCCAAGTGCCGGCAGTGCACCGCGGGTTTGAGAGTGAGCGAACGGCCTAACGGCCTTGCTTGGCAGAAGCCAAGGTCAGAACGCCAAAGGCAAGATGAAATGGGTATGGGTCAAGATTAAATCACCAGGGAACCGCAGGTTTTAGTCCAGCTTTCCATTTACCAGGGTTCCATTTGGGGTACCTATTTTTGACCCACAGCCAAATAGCACTTTGAGCACTTCTACTTGCAGCTTTTCGCAAGTCTATGTTGAGCTTTTCGGTGCAGGCTTCCTGCAACCGGTGGATCTGGGATGTACTCGCATGCGTCTCACGGACAGGTGTCGCTGCAGATGTTCGAGCTCCATGGGGATCAGCATCGCGACCTCCTTGCCGGGCCCTTTGGTTTGGTTGAAGCGGTGGAACCACGAAGTCACTAGCAGGTAGCGCGCAAGTGGTGGCTTGGATTGGTGGCTTGGATTGGTGGCTTTGGGTCAAAGATCCCCTTCTTGAGGGAGAATGGGCAACCTCTCCAAAAAACCACCAAACCACCAATCCAACGCAGCAATCAGAGGGAGGCTGACACTAAGGACGATACCCGCGCCAGGAGGCCTCGCGTCAAGATTGGGAGGTTGGTGGAACCCCAGAGTTAAAGTCTTTCAGTCGCGGGAGTTGCTCGGGACTTGCGTAGATATGGCAAGTTGATGCTTGCATTTATTTCTAAATCTAATAATAAGTGTAGCTATCTATTATTAATTCGTGTGTTTGCTTGCCTGTCTGCCTGTCTGCCTGCCTGCCTGTCTGTCTGTCTGCCTGCCTGCCTGTCTGTTTGGCAGATCTATCAATCTGTCAATATATTGATCTAATCTAGTCTAATATGCTCTGATATGGTCCTATCCAATCCAATCTAATATTGTCTTATCCTATCTACCTATTTAGTCTAATTGAATCTATTCCAATCTGATCCAATCTGATCCTATCCTATTCTAATCCTATCCTTATCCTATCCCATCCCATCCCATCCCATCCAATCCACCCTATCCTATCTATCTAGCTATCTACATGTAGACGTGTGTCTTCGTTGGATCACTGTTCTTGCATACACTGAAGTATACACATGGCATCAGCTCAGCACTGGGCCAGGCGATCTTTCAGCTCCAGTCCAGTGGGTAGCTGAGTTTATCCGACTGGCAAGTCTGATGAACCAGCATGGAACATGGAAGAGAGAATCGACTTGTCTACCTTGTTTGGGGTATTATCTCGCTGTCCCCTTTCACTTGTCGGCGGCCTTGATATTCAAGTCAGAGCTTGCACTCGGTGAATCGGTGAACATCTCTTGCTTCAAGCGCGCGTGATTCTTGCGGGCAATCCGTGTTACAGCAGCGGCCAGGCGAGGCGGCCCTGTGAGCACAAGGAGCACTGTGCATCACTGAATTCCGATGGACACGGAAGAAGGGCAAAAGACCAGGTACTCAGGGAGAGAGATAGAGAGAGAGAGAGAGAGAGAGCAAGAGAAATGTTGACTTGTTCTTGCGTGTTTGCTTGCACAATGCGAGTTCTTTCTTGTAAGCGGAGTTGAGATTCAGATTGCGATTTGCAGTATCGGGGTGCAGGAGTCCGTTGCTCGAGATTTGGCTGCTTTGGTTCGCCAGAGCCTCAAGGGGTGTGTGTATTGAGAGGTGAAGATGCTGTTGTTGTGAAGGGCCCGTGGCCCGTGGAGCCACAAACCAACGCCCTAAGGCGAAGGCCGCGCTCGGCAGCAACAGCGGTGCCTTCCGCTGACACAGCCTGAGAAGCAGAGCTCTTGCTTTGGATCGCTGAGCTTGAACAGTTTCGAGCAGGGGACATGATGGTTGTGGTATGGCTGTGGGTCAAAACCAATGGGATCCCATTTTGGGGGTAGGTGAATTCACCACCCATTTTAGGCTTTACTTTATTGGGGATTGGGATGTTTGTACGGGATTTTGACCCACAGCTGTATAGCTGTTTTCCTGGTGTTCCGGGATGGCTGTCTGCTATCTTTTTGGCAAAGGCTTGCGAGGGACTGGGAGCCTAGTCATCCAGCCCCACTTAGCTTGTTGCCAGGGAAGGAGGCGGGACGACTAGTCGCCGCATGTCCAAGAGCTTTCTAAGCAATGCACGGCTGGCAAATTTGGATGAGGCCTTCAGAAGGCAGACCGTTCATTTGAAGCAAAATTTTCGCATTCTGCTCGTATCTAAGCATTTCCCAGTTGTATCCAGCAGATTCCACGCTGAAGTCCAAGGTTTACGAGCCTGTTCTGATCTTGTTTTTGGTGTATGCATGTGAGGAACATTGTTTATGAGCCAAGACTTGTGTTCTGTCTCACGGCACATGGATCAGTCACTCGAATTTCGATGCTCTTCTGGAGTTTCATGGGGTGGCACTTTGAAGCTAAGTCACAAGTCACAAACATCTCGACCCTCATTTCTTTCCCTTGGCCGAGATAGAGTGATTCCCCTCGACATCTTACCGGGGATGTGTTTGTAACATGGCTGTGGGTCAAAACCAATTGCACCATGGGGTAGGTGCACCCATGGATTGGGATGTTCACTGGGGGTACGATTTGGGTTTTGACCCATGGCCACCTTGCTCTGCCCGATTTTTCGTGCCAGCTGCCTTAGGTCGCACACGGTGATCTCCTTCCAAGTCGCCCGGCCCAAGTCTGCCCAGCACTCGACCGGGGGAAGCGGGGAAGCGGGGCTCGGGACGAGTCAGGTCGAAACGCTCAGGTGGGGCAGCTGGTGATCATCGACGTGGACACCAGCGACCGGCAGTGGCTCAGACCTCGGTGACACACCCCGACTTTTTTTTTTTTTGCTCCACGACGTGCTGAGGACGTCTCGCAGCTGCCACACCAACCTGTGGCTCCTGCTGGGAGGCATCCAGGACCAATTTGTTGGATGTGGCATATTTGTGTGACATTTGCGTCAACCACTATGTTGCGATTTTTGCATTGGCTTCCAAAGGGCTCCACATGGGATGCAGAGCTTTCTCCAGCCTTCACCTCAGGACCGCTGTAGCACCTCAATGCTCCTGATGCTTGACCCTGCTCCTGGGGCTCAAGCGGACACACTCAGAACTCTGCAGCCTGAGCCCCAGGGGTTGCGCGATTTTTTGCGCGAAATCCAGAAATCGCTCCGTTTGGGAACCCTGGTTTCTGATTCGATTCCCCTGTAAATGCCAAGAATAGTGGTGTCAACCATGGTTTCCAAGTGGTGCGAAATGGATTTCGTCCATCCGCTGTAGTGACTTGATGGCACCAGACATGAATTGCGCAACTGCTTCTTTGAGCCCAAACATGCTTGTCACTCCAAGCAGCACATATCCACCAGTCGATGGCTTATCATGTCCCTTTGGCCAAATTCGCTGGAAGGTTCTGCCAAAGATTGCAGTCATCTCTCTTTGCGAGTCGCGGCGGTGCACGCAGGGCCCTCATCTTTTGGCAGACTCAGAAGGAGTCACAGAACCCAACTGGGGCAGTAAGGCCACTTGGAATCAGCGGATGACGAACTTTTACATAGTGCATCCGCCTTAGTTTGCCATGTTCTTTTTTCCTGACATAAAGGTTTCTACATTTGAGCCAGTCAGGCTGTGGCAGAAGAGATTGACGATGACCTGGCGGCAGGTGTCTTACGATCCATTGCTTTGACCCGTATGTGTGCCAAATGCCTCCTCAAGACTGGCCTCAGGAAGAGGTCTGCCGCCTGCAGAAGCAGACCTCCGAGGTGTGAGGTGTTTCTGAAGCGCGAGGTGTCTGTGCTTGGGCGAGGTACTTCGTGAAGTTGGCAAGCTGAAGATTGAAGTCGAGAAGAAGGATGCAGAGATTCTGGAGGCCGGGGGAAGAACACGGGGCATGCGATGCGAAGCCGGGCAGGGACTGCGCTTGGAAGGACAGCCGTCAGCATTTGGGTGTGTCTTTTTGTGGGGGACGCCTCAAAAATGGCTTCGGCTTTCCTTTTTGGTGTCCCTTCGAACCTGACCAAAAACGGGGGGTCGGAGTCCAAAAGAGACGAGCCGCCCATTTGCCCCGATCTCGTGCTCAGCTTCGTCGACGCGAGCCCAAAGCAAGGAGGCTGCCGGGTCCCCAGAAAATTCACGCGTAGAGCCCTACTTAAAGGGGCGATCCGGTACGTCTGGTAAGTGGGTAACAACCACGGGTGATAACCCACAAAAGCCGTGGTTTAGTCTCCGTGTGGGTCATGAGACCAACGCAGTAACCACTTACCTGACGTAGCGGATCGCCCCTTTAAGTAGCCTGTCTTGAAACCCATGGTCCCTATCTCCATCGAGCCATTGCGTGGCGATTGGTCCACTCTAGCGGGCTTGTTTGAATTAACATATGGCTGTGTCCAAAATAGGCACTTTCAAAACAAGTGGAAACATGGACAAGACCTGCGGTCCAGTGGTTCCATTTTGACCCATACCCATTCTATGTCAATATTTACCATCCCAGCCCACCTGGCACCTGCCTGACGTAAAAGGCGGGGTGCTGGTGTGCTGGTTTGCCGGTTTGGGACCATGCGCAGATGGCAGATGGATGGCCAGTTGCAACGGGGGCTGCTCCCGAGGTCCCCAAAGGCGGCGCACAGTCCGTGCGCCCCGCGCGCACGCGGAAGCGGCGGCACGCCTCGCGGTTTGCTTCTGCCGCGAGCGTCCGAGCAGGTAGCTTGGTAAGGGTAGAAAGAGACGGGCAAGTCCTAAACACAAATAGTGGCCAACCCTTGAGCAGCTTGACTCAAACTGCGGTTGAAAGAAAGCTGTTGTGTGCATGCGGCAAAGCATTCGCTCGCCGAATGCTTGCTGTCCAGCCAGGTGCGTCCAGTATGCGGGCGCCCCCTCCCTAGCATGGACTGTGCAGCGTGGCAGTCCAATTTGCCGGGCAAGTCGAGATGCTCTGCATCTATGTTCTGTTGAAACTTGTAGCAATTACAGGATGGTTTGCTTGAGGCCGTCACAAGAGCAGAGCAGGATCCTAGCAGTCGGCCTCCCAGCTTCTTCTCTTCTGCTGTGTGGCACATTTTTTGCTCGCCGCTGGTTCTGTGCTGTATGAGGTTCGGCACGTGCAAGCAAGTTCCAAAGGCGGGCTCGTCCAGTCAAAGTCCGTATCCGTACTTCTTTCTTCGTAATATTCGTTCGAGTCCAACGACCAGGATGCATGTTATTGCGTACGCAAGATTCAGGCCCAGAAAACGAGCATCGTAGATCTGAGCTCGCGTTGCAAAAACTAGTGACGTGGCAAGCTGAGCTGGATTTTCAAGCTCCGGAGCTTATAATCTTCCGATCTAAAGCCACCCTCTAAAGGCTCCTTGGGCAGGAAATCCCAGAAAGACCGATGCACCTACCATGCGGCAGAGCACCATGCATGCACTAGCAATTGGAAACCACCCTTGTTCCAGCGGACTGCAGCGATTCAGATGGCTGAATATGTTCGAACCGAAAGGTGCAGCTTCCAGACGCCTCAATCCGCTTCCCCACGATGGAAATCGAAAAGCATCCGTGTCCAAGCAGCGATAAGTTGCACATGTCTGGCAATTGCCATGTATACCGGCCAGTCAGGTTTGGTTAGAATTTCCAGTCTGACGAATCGGGTTGAGACATGAACTCTCCAGATTTCCCGCAAAGACCAAGGGGACTCAGCAAAGCTCTCTCTCTCTGGCTTTTCCACGTGGGTATGGGTCAAAATGAAACCATCAGGCGACCGGAGATTTTAGCCCACATTCCCATTCACCAGGGCAGCTCATTTTGGGTATCTATTTTTGACCCACAGCCATGTCTTTTGCTGGAAACTTTGACCGCTCGTATATTCTCCGCAACATTATCGTGTGTGTTCTGTTGCCCCTCAGGCGGGGAACATGGACCAAGTTGCTGAGTCAAAGTAGCCTCACGCTTTCAATCGCCAGATATGAAGCGCTTCATTGTGGCCCTCTTGACTTTTTGCATTCTTCCATAGCCTCACTGGGAACTTGTATTTTGAATTCGAGGGCCAATGCATCGGCGCATGCCTGCCCACCGGCCAGGTGTGTCCAATTCACCCGCGCCCCGTCCCTAGCATGGACAGAGGTGCCGCCCTTTCTTTTCGGGGGGGGGGGGGGGCGGAAGCGTCTTGCCAATTCGTCCGCCTTCGGGGTCTTCGGAGCAAGTCTCTTGGCAGATTTCTATGTGCAATTTCTCGAACAGCGCGCCTTTTCGTTACGGGAAAGGCACATCTCTTCAGCCCACCACGCAAAGGAACTGGGGGGAGATGTCCTATGGCTTTTGTGGTTGCATGGAGGTTGCGGGCACCAAGCTGTTGTCAAAGTTGCAGGGTAAGTCAAGATGCTCTGCATCTATGGTCTGTTGAGTTTGCAGCAATTGCAAGTTGGGATGGTGTGCATGAGGCCCTCGCAAGAGCAGAGCAGGGTCCTCACTGTCGGGCTCCCAGCTTCTTATCTTCAGTTGTGTGGCATATTTCTTGCTCGCCACTGGTTCTGTGCTGTATGAGGTTCGGCACGTGCAAGCAAGTTCCAAAGGCAGGCAGAATGTGCACATGGAGGAGATTTCACACTGTTCCAGCACCCTGGTCCATGGATTGTGCAGGTTCCCTTCTACACAAGAATGCACCGTTTTCCCATTGACAGGCATTTTTGGAGCGGGCAGATTGTAGTTTGTTGGACACAAGGGCTGACAAACACCTTGGGAATTGGTTCTCACTGTTTTGGTTGTGAGTGGGCCGTGGGCAGCTTACCATGGACTCTGTTGCCAGCCGCCGCGCGAGCTCCTGAAAAGAGCCCTTGCCTCAGTCTGGAAGATGCACGCTTCCTGGAGTCGTTTTTTGCTCTGAACCCTGGTCCAATAGTCAATCTCCGCTGGCTATGACGCCAAAAAGGGAAGAACCCAATGGCCGTGGCTCAGGCTCGCCGAAACCAGCTCCTCCCGCACGCGAGGCTGGGGCTTTTTTTCTTCCCCAGATTGAGATGAACTCCCTATGGACACTCTATAGATGGTATGTGGCACAGCATCCCTCCAGTCGTCCATGTCACAAAGCCCAAGGAGTCTCTGAGAAATGGGTCCAAGAAGGAGAACCAGAGCCTGAAGTCCAGGTCCAGCGGCCCTAAGGAGAGCCACGTCGGAGTCCTTTTTTTCGGCCGGCGTTTCAGCGGAATCGGTTCAAACAAATATATATGAGCCTGAGCTGAACACCCTAAGGGTTCAATAGAGATTTAAGAGTTCAAACCTTCTTTGGCTGAAGATGGAAGTGAGATGGCACTGAAATCAACAGTCGAGTGTTGGAAGAGATGCTGGTAGAAGCTGGTGGGCAGGAGGCAACTCCGGCAGTTTCACAGCAGCGCGCTGCGATGCGGAGTATGATTCGGCTCTTCGGCTGCGATGGGCTCCGACTGTGAGCGAAATATTTTGCGGCATGACGTGACCCGCCCGAACTCGGAGACTCGAAGTCGAACTCCCCCCCAGCAAAGAAGGAAGACACGCGCGAGCATGATGTCGAGCTCAAACTCGAGCTGCCCCCGGCCGAACCAAAAGTCGCGCACGCCCGAACTCAAACTCGAACTCGAACTCGACCAGCTCGCGGAGCAGACAGATCCGGGTCGCCACAGCATTGGTTCTCGTTTGGATGTAGCCTTGGCAATTCTTTTCACGCGCGCGAGCCAAGAGCTTGTCTCCATCGACCAATCCCTGCAGATTAAGGCCGGACAAGCTGCGGCCGGTTGCAAGGGCTGGCCGCCTCAGAGCTGAAGCACACCGCCGGACACGTCGATTGATCATTTGGTTTGGCTGGTTTGGCCCTGGCCGCTATGGGAAGCACCCAGCGCCTTCGGGGTTTGTGAATCTCGCACTGAGAAGCCACGTCTGAACTCTTCGCACCTGGTTGAGTTGTGGCCTGAGCGCCCAAAACGGCCAGCGGCCCACTTGCTGCAGGCTGCTGCTGTGGCCAGCCAGCTGCGAGGTCGGTCTTTGGTCTCGGGCCCTCGCCGTCAGATCTGCGAACAGGTCGCCGTCAGCCGGAACCGGCCGTGCCATGTGAGGCAGGGGCATCTATTGGATCACGGCTGGTTGTCAGCGGATTTTGCAGCCAGCTCGCACATCCGCAAGCTTGGCGGCGAAAAGCCGATGTCCATAAGCTGGACTTGTCTCCAGGTACGCTCGCCTTCCTGCAGCAGTAGCTGCCTGAGATTCTAGCGCAGAGGTAGATGGCAGAGGTAGATGATATGCCCTCTTTCTAGGAGGATGCAAATGCCCTTGCAAGGGGCCTGGCTATTACACCTAGGTTTGAGCACAAGCAGCTCTGGTTCCTGCCTCGGCGTTGTGCAAGTCTGCTTGATTCCGCAACTCGCGCAGTCTTACTCCTGGATGGAATGTATTTTTGGCATGCTGCGATTGGAGAGGCAGCAGGATCGCGAAGGGCCAACTTCATGAATTAACAGGAAACATTGACATGGCCTGGTCTCAGGCAGCTGCAGCATCAGGTGCGACAGGAGTCACAGGCGCAGAGATGAATGTGCTGAATTGGTTTGCTCGAAATGTTGCCAGGCCAGCTTGCCATCGACCGCAGGAGCTGGGCCATGGTTTGCGGGGCCAATTCAGTGCTGTGTGCGTTCCAGTTTTGCCGAGATTGCGACGTTGGCATGTTTCAGAGGATGCTCTTCCGCTCAAGCTTGACCTGACGCACGTCAAGCAGATAACTGGGCCTTTGTCGGAAGGCAGGCGCTGATGCTAAGCGTCCACCTATAAAACAACCTTCAACTGAATGGCGGATGCCCTTAATTCCAAGAGCAGGGTAAGGCAGCAAGCTTCCCAGAAGCCTTCTGCTTCACGGCTTGGAGTCAACTGCTGTCGCGGAAGGCCTTAGCAAGCCTCGGAATCGACTCGCCAGGATTCCGAACTCCTCAAACCCCCAGAGGAAGGCCACCCATCGCCGGGTCCCGAGACACGTTTGGTGGACATTTTAAAGCATGCCACACGCTTGCCCCGAAGCAAGCAACTACTTGAGGCTTGGTGGCATTCGGAGGCCATGGCTTTAAGCGCTTGTGCCTTGTGCTCGCATCTTGCACCATGGTTCACCGAAGGAGTTTTTCTAGCGCAGGATGTGGCTCCAGCTTCTGCCAGGGGGCATGCGCCTTGTGTAGCCCCCCAGGACCGAGCCAATAGGCTGTGGCTCAAAACATGTACCAAGATGGCACCTTGGTACATAGAATCAAAGACTATCACCTGCGTAACCCTAGCTCTTTTAAGTTTGAGCCACACCCATATGCCAGGTACAAAGCGTACATTGGGCTGTGGGTGAGTGGCAGTTGGCAATTTGGAGTCGTTTCTGTAGGGAGCTCTTCGCTTGTTGCCGCATGCGCTGGATGAGTCTTGCTCTCAGGACGTCAGCCGGGCGCGAAGCCTGTGCCCTGTGATGAAAGGGGCACCTCGTGCACCGGAGCTCTGCTCAGTCAGAGGTACATAGTGGAGCTGGTGACTCCTCGAACGGCATTGCGCTTGGAAGTGGGGGGGGGGGGTCGTTTGCTCCCTGTAAATTGTTGATCTCACAAGTTCGTCTTCGTTTTTTTTTTTTGCCAGCTGCGATCACTGCAGGCTCAGGCAGTCTCCTTTTTGCACCAGAAGGAGGACCTCAAGAGAGTCGAAAGCAGCACACCAGAGTCACTCCACGTGATGTCGTAACATGCATGGCTGACCTGAGCAGGATAATGATGCGGAGCTGAGCCCTATGATGATGCTGCGCCCAGCGCGGGCAGCTTAGACACTCTGCAACGCTCAGCTGCATTGCTGCTAGATCCTGATTCCACCCGGAGTTATCATGGCTAGCCGGTTGTAGCAACTGGACCGTTTGTTTATAGGTTCCAAGCATAGCCTGCAAGACAGGCGCTTTACTTTGCCCTTACTTTGCTATGTCACGTAATGAAGCGCTTTGCTAGAGGAATAACCCTCAAGAGCTAAGCAATCTTTCCTGCAGGCATACGACAGTGGGAGAGGGCAGTCTTTGGAATCCCACACCTTGCTTTAGACAGCCCATTGTTGCAATGGTCTTAGTGCATGTCGCAGGAGTTTCTCTCGGATCCATGCCTCCCCCGGTTCGCTTGCTCCTGCCGAGAAGCCTGGCTGCGGTGGTGCCACAGACAGGCTGGGATCAGCCGGTGGAACCCGGGGGCTTTCATTGGCCCGGTTGGGTATGGGCCATGGGTCAAAATTAAGCCACCAGGATATGGACCGCAGAGTTTAGTCCATGGTCCATTTACCAGGGCAACCGATTTTGGGTACATATGGGTGTGTCTTTTTCTGGTACTTTTCAGGGTATTTTGGGGGTATTTTTTGGAAAGCCTGGTTTTCCATGGTACACTCCTTTTTTAGTAGAGGGTCGACATGATACCCTGAAAAAAGAGGGTATTTGGAGGTTACGGGGGCACAACCCGCCGCCGCTGTCGGGATCTCCGGGCCCTTTAGCCCTTTGAAGGCCGGAGCGCCATCTCGGTGTCAAGTGCACGGGCCCCAGCTTCGGCCTATCCCAGTTGGAACCCGCGCAACTGCCCCAGGTTCGGTGAGAGAGACTTTTCCTGTTGAATGAAGAAGCACACAGAGCCCTTTCCAGCTTGGGTGGAGCGGGTCGCCGTTTTATGGTTTCGGCAGCACGACTTTCGCATTTTCTTCCGGCGAGCAGCCCAGCCAGAAAGATACTGTGGATGGACGCAATCCTGCACCACCTAAGAAACCCTGGAATGATGATTCTCCTGTACATACCAACAAACAATGATTCCCCATAGTTTTGGATTTTGTCCATCCACAGTATCAGTGTACCAGGATGAAGATGACATCCGTGAAAGGCTCAACAAGGCAGGGATCGCATGAGGGTAGACGGGTGCAGCCGCCTTGTAAATTCTTTACATGGTTTTGGGTAGGCAATTTTGGTGCCAGGTTTTGATTATGATTCACATCCTTGCACCGCAGAGAAGCGTTTTGATTCGAGTCGGAAGGAGCTGTGCCAGTGCGACAAGGAGAATTGCGAGGCGTTTTGAGTGGGTTTCCTCCATTCGGCCGAGAGGAAGCCATGAAAGGACAAGTGTCGAAGAATTATCCTGCACTGTTTTGGACTTGCGACCAATGGCGCTTCCTCACGGCCATGGGTTGACATGACATGTCGCTTTTGAGTTCCTGTATCCTCAAGTGGCCGTTCGAAGTAATACTCCATCATGTTGGGGGGGGGACGAAGCACTTTTTGTAACCAAGCAAAGGTGCCGCAAAATGCAGAGCTTGCGGGCAATGCTGCGCCTGAGGCTGGATGCGCGTGAGTCCCTATATGTCCAGATGCTTGATGCTGTGTCAGACCTGCCTTATTCTGCTGGCATTGTGTCAGTTGTTTCTCTGGCTTCCCTCTGGATGCTCATAGTAGAATTCAGGTTTACTGACTACAGGAAGCGTCATTGCAGGATTTCCTCCAGATTGTCATACGAGGGCTACTGGGCTCTCAGGCAATCCATGCGCACTCGTGCCCGGCAGGAAAACAGCCTTGCAGCGGCAGCCAAGGAGATCATTGGAGAGCCCTTGAACCAAGTCGGGTTCTCAGGAGCCCTCGCGTTCTTGCCGCAAGGGATGCCAAAAGGTCATGTCAATGGTCCGAATTGAGCAAAGGTCAGACAAAGAAACGCCTCGGGTTGATGTTCGACAATCCGACTAGACGTGACCAAATATCATAGTTCCCGACATTGCAGATGTGACATGATGTGACCATTTGATCAATCGTCCTCCTGTTTTCGTCCTTCACGCTGCATGCTCAGGTCGTTGCATGAGCTCCAGCGAGACATCGTTTTGAAAGGCCCTGAAGGCCCCAATTCGCAATCGAGCGGACCGTTTCCAGCCGTGTCATGAGTTGACAGTGTGTTTTTTGGTCCAACTTTTGACACAGATATAGATGGCCAGACTGGAATAATTCGCATTTGCAAGCAGCGCGGATGTGCAGACTTGGAACGCACGCTGGGAAATGGCACACAGCTATGCAGAAATGACACCTAAGACAAAGTGCAGCTTTTGAACAGTTCGAGTTGCCATCCCGTGAATTCATTAGTTCAGTCCAAAAAGGCGTGCGGTCTTGCTCATGCGAATCCTTGCATCACGTCAGCTTCAAGGCCGGAGCCAAGTTTGGCCCGAGAGTTGCGGCGTCAGGCCGGAGGACTGAGCCGATGTCGGTTAGTGGCGCCAGTGAGGCTGACGTGTCCGTCTTGACTGAGGAGCTTGGGTGCAAGCTTCAGATCTTTGAATTTTAAGCATCCTTCTTTGGTTTCTCCTCAATCGGGATTAGATGAGCTTTCCCAATTATGAATGTGTTTCCACCAGATGCATGTTCCTGACACTCTCCTTCCTTGCAGTTGCTTGTTCAGTTGTTCCCTGCTCAGCGAATTCTTTGGTGCCTTGGGCTGGTGATTGAGTGACTAGCTTCCTTCGTAGGTTTTGAACAGGCTGACAAACCCGAGCAAGGGGAGTATAGTGAGGCCCCAGGTGAGCGCTTCGTTCGGCGCCTTGCTTCTTCGTTCACAGATGGCTGTGGGTCATAACCTATGCCCCATTTTGGGGCGGATGAACACCCATGTACCACCAATTTGGATGTTCACCAGGGGTACAGGGTTTTCCCATGCCGGATGTGAGCCTCGGAGGCTGGTCGAGGTTCAACTTAAGGGTATCACGTCCTGGAAAGGTGTGTTCTCCAAGATTGCAAAGAAGTAAGCCAACAATCTAACGTTGAATTCGGATTAGTGAACCCTTGTGTAGAAACACGGCGGTGTTTCCCTCCAAAAGTGATGAATAGCAGCGACACCCCCATGAATAAACCGGGGTTCCCCTCCCACCTAACATGGAAGTGCAGAAAAGTCGCCGTTGCAAGAGGAAAGTCGTCTTTCCACAGGTGTCTATGGGCTTCCGGGTTCTCCTCCCGGGCTCCCCAAAAAATTCGCCCATTTCGGTCGAGGAGCTGCTGCTGCTGACTCCGCGGCACCGCCACGGCTGCCACGAGCGCCTGAAGATTGCGCGGCGCCTGGGGCGCTTGGACCAGGCCGGCTGGGGCGCCAACGGCCGGCTGCGGCTGGGGGAGATCTTGCACACCAGGCGGGGGGGCGGCGGCTTCGGGGCGGCGCGGCGGCTTTTGGGGCGCGTTGGCGCGTAGGCAGCTGCGATTCAGGTGGCTGTGGTTGTGTCAAAACTGTGTTGGGATTTTTGTTTTTGGTTGGTAGGTGAATTCACCACCCATTTTAGGCGTTGTTTTAGTGGGGATTGAACCGGATGTTCACTGGGGGTACGATTTGGATTTTGACCCATGGCCTTTCTCTGAGGTTCCATGTTTTTTCTGGGAGGGCTCGTGCTTCGGAGCGAAATTTCAAGGCGGGGGAGGGCTTGAAAAGGCCCACCGACCAGAAAAATGCTCCGATTGAAGCTGGTTGAGTGGATCACCTTCTAGCAACGGTCGGGCAAATGTTGGGGGAAGGACTCATGCGAGCCGAAGAAAATCCAACGCCAAGGCTGCTAGAACATGAGACGTCTTCTGAGTCTTGAATGTCGTGATTCTGACATGAAGTTGGTTGGTGCTGCTGGCTTGCGGGGCTTGAGGGCTTGACCACTACGCCTACGCCTATTCGTCATCAAGAGATGGTCAGAAGGTTTTCCATGAAACATGTGTTTTCGCAGATGATGCTTTCACAAAATGTGGGTGTGGGTCAAAATGAAACCATTTACCAGGCTCTATTTTGGGTACCCAGTTTTGACCCGCAATGTCATGATCCTTGAGTTGCTCAAGGCACCCGCTTCCTACTTTTTCCAGCCATCTGCCAGGCTGGCGGAGGGCGTGATTCTGTTGCTGGTGACACTGGAGCTTTGCATGACCTTATTGGAGTGTGGCTTGAAGTCGGGCTTCATTTGTCTCTTCCAGGTTGATGTGGTCTGCAACGTAGATGGCTTTGTCTGCGAGAGCGCAGAGGGCAGGAGGACGAGCCTCGTGTTGGAGACTTGCGAGATGATGTCGAAAGTGATCGTGGCTCACTTGTCCAAAGCGAATCGACCTTTTGACCTTCCGGCTTTCCAATTTTGGGCCATCTTGTCATGACCACAAAAGGTCAACCTTGTGTTTCCCGGACCTTTGTGGAAACTGAGGTGGTGCTCTTTGCAGTGGAGATGATGCTGAAAGTCTCGGTGGCTCCTGTGCACACGCTGAGCAACCTCTGGCACCTGCTGGACATGCTGGTGGTCTTCGGAAATCTTCTCTTCACCTTCTGCCTGGCCGGCCGGGGGGAGCTGTCTCTGCTGCTGCGCTGCTGGCGCATCTTCAAGCTGATCATGCTGGTGGAAGAGGAGGCTGAGAAGATCGAGGAGCACATCCGAAGGCGCATGAAGGAGGAGACCTCACATGCTTCAGACTGCTCCCCCAGGTCAGCCGGTGCTGCAAGCACCACACATCTGAGGCATGCCACGAGAGGTGGCAAGTTCGGGGGTGGCATCGGTGCAGTGCTCGGAACCGCTACGGGGGCTGCCGTTGGAGTGATCCCCGCCATCTTCACCTTCGGGCTTTCCATTCCGATTTGCGCAGCAGTGGGTGGTGGAACGGGCCTCTGCGCCGGGACTGCGGTCGCTTTCTCAGTCTTTCGGTGCCGGTTGCGATACCCGCACGCCAGGATATCTTGTTGAACTTGCTGGTTCGATAGGCAGGGAATGAGGGAATGATCCCTTGGTTTCCTTTTGAGGGAATCCCTAGGTTCATTCTCAAAACTCGGGTTTTGGTCATTCCCTACCTATTGCACCGATCGCAAGTTAAGTACGGACTGTCCTACCAGGTCCAGAGCTTTCCTTGACGAATTCGCGACATTCCGTTGGATTCTTGTCGTTACAGCTATCCCAGCAATCTTGCCTTTGCATACTTGCTGCATCTTTTTCGGGCGTCTACTCGTTTCCGAATTTCCATGTTGTCCCAACTGGAAGCATGTGGAACATCCTTGTGAAGTGTATTGGGCTGAGCCAGTCAAGGTGAGACAGGATCACGGCTGGTGTTACTGTGTGTTTTGCTTGGGCGATTGATTGCGTTGCCAGTTGGATGGTTTATAGGGGTCATTCCATTTCTCGTGCCGTGAAGAGTGATTGTTCCGACACTTTGTCTGATGTCAGGCTTGCCGCCAGGCTAGCATGAGAATTCGTGTGGTTGGCACGTGTTTGATTTCAGGCTGAGATGACAGCACAAGTTATGCTACACCTCTTCTGAACCCAGATGTGGAACGTCCTTGTGAAGAGTAGTGGGCTGAGCCAGTCAAGGTGAGACAGGATCACGGCTGGTGTTACTGTGTTTGTTGCTTGGGCGATTGATTGCGTTGAGCTTGTACGCTGTGGCTGCGGATGATGACAAACATAACCCAGCTCTCTGAAGGCATTTGTGCCGTGAAGAGTGATTGTTCCGACACTTTGTTTGATGGCAGACTTGGTGGCAAGCTAGCATGAGGATTCGTGTGATTGGCACATTTGCATGTAGCTGGGAGCAGGGGCAAGATCTGGGCAGTTGCTTGATTTCAAACGTCCTTGTGAAGAGTGGTGGGCTGAGCCAGTCAAGGTGAGACAGGATCACGGCCGGTGTTGCTGTGTTTGTTGCTTGGGCAGTAGATTGCGTTGAGCTTGTACGCTGTGGCTGCGGATGATGACAAACATAATCCCAGCTCTCTGAAGGCATTCGTGCCGTGAAGAGTAATTGTTTCGACACTTTGTCTGATGGCAGACTTGGTGGCAAGCTAGCATGAGGATTCCTGTGATTGGCACATTTGCATGTAGCTGGGTGCAGGGGCAAGGGCTGGACAGTTGATTGATTTCAGGCTGAGATGACAGAACAAGTTATGCTACACCTCTTCTGAACCCAGATGTGGAACGTCCTTGTGAAGAGTAGTGGGCTGAGCCAGTCAAGGTGAGACAGGATCACGGCTGGTGTTACTGTGTGTTTTGCTTGGGCGATTGATGGCGTTGAGCTTGTACGCTGTGGCTGCGGATGATGACAAACATAATCCCAGCTCTCTGAAGGCATTCGTGCCGTGAAGAGTAATTGTTCCGACACTTTGTCTGATGGCAGACTTGGTGGCAAGCTAGCATGAGGATTCCTGTTACCTTGGCACAATTGCATGTATCTGAGTGCGGGGGTAAGGTTTGGACAGTTGCTTGATTTCAGGCTGAGATGACAGAACAAGTTATGCTACACCTCTTCTGAACCCAGATGTGGAACGTCCTTGTGAAGAGTAGTGGGCTAAGTGAGCCAGTCAAAGTGAGACAGGATCACGGCCGGTGTTGCTGTGTTTGTTGCTTGGGCAATTGATTGTGTTGAGCTTGTACGCTGTGGCTGCAGATGATGACAAGCATAATCCCAGCTCTCTGAAGGCATTCGTGCCGTGAAGAGTGATTGTTCCGACACTTTGTCTGATGGCAGACTTGGTGGCAAGCTAGCATGAGGATTCGTGTGATTGGCACAGTTGCATGTAGCTGAGTGCAGGGGCAAGGGCTGGACAGTTGCTTGACTTCAGGCTGAGATGACACAACAAGTTATGCTACACCTCTTCTGAACCCAGATGTGGAACGTCCTTGTGAAGAGTAGTGGGCTGAGCCAGTCAAGGTGAGACAGGATCAGGGCTGGTGTTACTGTGTTTGTTGTTTGGGCGATTGATTGCGTTGAGCTTGTACGCTGTGGCTGCGGATGATGACAAACATAATCCCAGCTCTCTGAAGGCATTCGTGCCGTGAAGAGTGATTGTTCCGACACTTTGTCTGATGGCAGACTTGGTGGCAAGCTAGCATGAGGATTCCTGTGATTGGCACATTTGCATGTAGCTGGGTGCAGGGGCAAGGGCTGGACAGTTGCTTGATTTCAGGCTGAGATGACAGAACAAGTTATGCTACACCTCTTCCGAACCCAGATGTGGAACGTCCTTGTGAAGAGTAGTGGGCTGAGCCAGTCAAGGTGAGACAGGATCACGGCTGGTGTTACTGTGTGTTTTGCTTGGGCGATTGATTGCGTTGAGCTTGTACGCTGTGGCTGCGGATGATGACAAACATAATCCCAGCTCTCTGAAGGCATTCGTGCCGTGAAGAGTGATTGTTCCGACACTTTGTCTGATGGCAGACTTGGTGGCAAGCTAGCATGAGGATTCCTGTAATTGGCACAGGTGCATGGTGCATGTAGCTGGGAGCAGGGGCAAGGTCTAGACAGTTGCTTGATTTCAGGCTGAGATGACAGAACAAGTTATGCTACACCTCTTCTGAACGCAGATGTGGAACGTCCTTGTGAAGAGTAGTGGGCTGAGCCAGTCAAGGTGAGACAGGGTCAGGGCTGGTGTTACTGTGTTTGTTGTTTGGGCGATTGATTGTGTTGAGCTTGTACGCTGTGGCTGCGGATGATGACAAACATAATCCCAGCTCTCTGAAGGCATTCGTGCCGTGAAGAGTGATTGTTCCGACACTTTGTCTGATGGCAGACTTGGTGGCAAGCTAGCATGAGGATTCGTGTGATTGGCACATTTGCATGTAGCTGAGTGCAGGGGCAAGGGCTGGACAGTTGCTTGATTTCAGGCTGAGATGACAGAACAAGTTATGCTACACCTCTTCTGAACCCAGATGTGGAACGTCCTTGTGAAGAGTAGTGGGCTGAGTGAGCCAGTCAAAGTGAGACAGTACGCTGCGGATGATGACAAGTATAATCCCAGCTCTCTGAAGGCATTCGTGCCGTGAAGAGTGATTGTTCCGACACTTTGTCTGATGGCAGACTTGGTGGCAAGCTAGCATGAGGATTCGTGTGGCTGGCGCAGTTTCATGTAGCTGAGTGCAGGGGCAAGGTCTGGACAGTTGCTTGATTTCAGGCTGAGATGACAGAACAAGTTATGCTACACCTCTTCTGAACCCAGATGTGGAACGTCCTTGTGAAGAGTAGTGGGCTGAGCCAGTCAAGGTGAGACAGGATCAGGGCTGGCCCTGGTGTTACTGTGTTTGTTGCTTGGGCAGTAGATTGCGTTGAGCTTGTACGCTGTGGCTGCGGATGATGACAAGCATAATCCCAGCTCTCTGAACGCATTCGTGCCGTGAAGAGTGATTGTTCCGACACTTTGTCTGATGGCAGACTTGGTGGCAAGCTAGCATGAGGATTCCTGTGGCTGGCGCAGTTTCATGTAGCTGAGTGCAGGGGCAAGGTCTGGACAGTTGCTTGACTTCAGGCTGAGATGACAGAACAAGTTATGCTACACCTCTTCTGAACCCAGATGTGGAACGTCCTTGTGAAGAGTAGTGGGCTGAGCCAGTCAAGGTGAGACAGGATCAGGGCTGGCCCTGGTGTTACTGTGTTTGTTGCTTGGGCAGTAGATTGCGTTGAGCTTGTACGCTGTGGCTGCGGATGATGACAAGCATAATCCCAGCTCTCTGAACGCATTCGTGCCGTGAAGAGTGATTGTTCCGACACTTTGTCTGATGGCAGACTTGGTGGCAAGCTAGCATGAGGATTCCTGTGGCTGGCGCAGTTTCATGTAGCTGAGTGCAGGGGCAAGGTCTGGACAGTTGCTTGACTTCAGGCTGAGATGACAGAACAAGTTATGCTACACCTCTTCTGAACCCAGATGTGGAACGTCCTTGTGAAGAGTAGTGGGCTGAGCCAGTCAAGGTGAGACAGGATCAGGGCTGGCCCTGGTGTTACTGTGTTTGTTGCTTGGGCAGTAGATTGCGTTGAGATTGTACGCTGTGGCTGCGGATGATGACAAACATAATCCCAGCTCTCTCAAGGCATCCGTGCCGTGAAGAGTGATTGTTCCGACACTTTGTCTGATGGCAGACTTGGTGGCAAGCTAGCATGAGGATTCCTGTGATTGGCACATTTGCATGTAGCTGGGTGCAGGGGCAAGGGCTGGACAGTTGCTTGATTTCAGGCTGAGATGACACAACAAGTTATGCTACACCTCTTCTGAACCCAGATGTGGAACGTCCTTGTGAAGAGTAGTGGGCTGAGCCAGTCAAGGTGAGACAGGATCAGGGCTGGTGTTACTGTGTGTTTTGCTTGTGCGATTGATTGCGTTGAGCTTGTACGCTGTGGCTGCGGATGATGACAAACATAATCCCAGCTCTCTGAAGGCATTCGTGCCGTGAAGAGTGATTGTTCCGACACTTTGTCTGATGGCAGACTTGGTGGCAAGCTAGCATGAGGATTCCTGTGATTGGCACATTTGCATGTAGCTCGGTGCAGGGGCAAGGGCTGGACAGTTGCTTGATTTCAGGCTGAGATGACAGGACAAGTTATGCTACACCTCTTCTGAACCCAGATGTGGAACGTCCTTGTGAAGAGTAGTGGGCTGAGCCAGTGACAGGATCACGGCCGGTGTTGCTGTGTTTGTTGCTTGGGCAGTAGATTGCATTGAGCTTGTACGCTGTGGCTGCGGATGATCACAAACATAATCCCAGATCTCTGAAGGCATTCGTGCCGTGAAGAGTGATTGTTCCGACACTTTGTCTGATGGCAGACTTGGTGGCAAGCTAGCATGAGGATTCCTGTGATTGGCACAGCTGCATGCAGCCAGGTGCAGGGGCAAGATGTGGGCAGTTTGTGCATTTCAGGCTGAACCTCTTCTGAATCCAGATGTGGAACGTCCTTGTGAAGAGTAGTGGGCTGAGCCAGTCAAGGTGAGACAGGATCACGGCCGGTGTTGTTGTGTTTGTTGCTTGGGCAGTAGATTGCGTTGAGCTTGTACGCTGTGGCTGCGGATGATGACAAACATATTCCCAGCTCTCTGAAGGCATTCGTGCCGTGAAGAGTGATTGTTCCGACACTTTGTCTGATGGCAGACTTGGTGGC